TTACAAAGTATAATTTTTTAATGCTTTGTGAATTTGACTGAAAAATTGATCAACCTGGTACCAAGAAATAACTGAATGCAAGGCATTTTTCTTATGAACCTACATTTTTCTTTTTTTTTTTTTTTTTTTTTTTTACTATTTTAAAGGTATTTCTGTCATAAACAAAATTAGCCTTTGTTAAAATATATTCTTAGGCATTCTATTCATGTATCTCCTTTGTGCTTAAAGTTTTGAAGTTTAATAAAGGCATGTTTTAGAATATTCAACTCAATATCAACTTTTTAAATTTCACTGAAGGAAGCTGGGCATGGTAGTGCAAGCCTGTATCCCAGCACTCAGGAGGCTAAGGCAGTAGGATCATAATGAGTTTGAGGCCAGCCTGGACTACACAGTAAGTTAACATCCAGCCTGAACTACATAGTAAGAACCTGTCTTAAATTATTTTATTTTTTTTATTTTTTTATTTTTTTTAAAGAAATGTTTTCTTTTGCCACAGAGTTGTGGAATTTCTTTTTTTTTTATTTTTTCATTTTTTATTTATTTAAGAGAGAGAGAGAGGTGTGTGTGTGGCCAGCTCAGCCCACCAGGGGGCGAGGCTGGCTGGCATGTGATGCTGGGGGATTGAACCGCAGTCCCTGATGCGTTGCTAAGCTTATTCTAAGTAGGTGCTTTAGACCACTGAGCCATCTCTCCAGCCCAAATTATTTTAAATAAATAAATAAAAATAAAAAATTTCACCAAAGGCTTTGATGAGGAAGAGTATATACAATGAAAGCATTGGTGAAATTTTGAAAGTTTCTTTCTATAAAGTATATAATACTCAATATCTAAATCTAAATTAGGCACAAAAGACCAATGCTAACAATAGATTTTTGTGATGTATATTTTTGAGTGTCCACAATTCAGATAAAATGTTTAATATCTGTAAACATGCTTTTACAAAAGAAAATCTTGGATTACTATGAAAAAAATAAGTCAACTTTCATTTGTAAAAATTAAACCCAGCAAATGCCTACTTCCTGAAATGAAAAGGAAAAAAAAAATTGGTCTGAGTAGAGTTCTGCTAGCTGAGAAAAGTGTTTATAACGATACAACTATCATCACATCAAATAAGATGAATCAATCAGGACATAGGGAGGGGAGTTATTAACAAGGAACTCACGAAATACAGGAAAACAAGGTGAAAACAGAAGGAAACTGCAGGGCACTTAGAGACGCAAGGCTTAGAGACACAAGTCATTCAAAAGGCAGTCTACACAGTCATGAGACTAACGTGGTCAGAAACTTAGAAGATTGGCAGAAAAGTATTGCTAACCATTGCACAGACTAGCTCCAGTTTTGCCACTTTCCTCCCCTTTCCTACCATCTCTGAGTAAGGGCGGATATTGAAGGGGAAGACGGTCGCAGCCAAGGCGCACAGGAAGTCAGGGCTCATCCACATGGAGGCAAGGTCAGGCATGTTGTGGTACAGGTAGCGGAAGAACTGCATCAGGGTCACTGGGTATTCTCGCAGCCAAGACCCCTCTTCTTCCGACTGCCACGGCTGGCACAGAGGTGAAAGCAGAAAAGACGTTAGAGAACTTTACACCACTAAGAATGACTAAACACCCTCTGCTCACTACTCTTGCAGTACTGGACGTGTCAGTGGTGCAGAACTCTATAAAGCACACATGTGAGTAAAGATCTGTGCACATGTACGTAAACAGAGCCCTGAAGACAGGGTGTCTGTGAGTGCACTGGAGAACCTGGCTCCAGTGACGCTGTCAGGGGCTTTGGTTACTTGTTACTGTCAACAGGGAGAGTGCAGGGCCTGCAGTCAGCAGTGTTACCAGCAACGCTGTCCCATGTGCGTCATACTGGAGGGTCTGAAGTAAAAGAAAGGATGGGAAGCACTGTGTCACGTGAGCCTCTACCACGGCATGTACTGCAGTGGGCTCAGCACTCCCACGTGGGGATGATAAGGAATCAGAGAGTGAGGAGGCACACGCCTGCGATCCCAGCACTCAGAGCTGAGGCGAGACAGTCGCTGCCAGTTTGAGTCAGCCTGGGCTACACAGTGAATTCCTGGCCAGCCTGGACTACATAGTGAGACCTTGTCTCAAAACAAGAACAAAATCAGAAACAATCCTACATCTTGTGAACAAAATAAGTCAGAGAAACAAAGCAAACTGTTTACAGAATTCTTGATGACAGACAGGAACATACATGTTTTGCTCAGTTGTTCACTTCCAATTTTAAAATAAACAGAATAGAAAAAGCAGAAAATAAAAACTCTTACTGTTAATATTTTTAATCTCTAAAGGAAAGGGGGTCAGGGAGATGGCTCAGTGGCATAAGCACCTGCTTGGCAAATGCAATGTTCTGATTTTAATCCCCGGTTCCCTCCCGCCCCAACAAATAAATAAATAAAATAAAGGAAAGGGATTTTTAGAGTTCAAACAGGATATTACATTCATAGGATATAAAGCAAGTCTTTATTTTATTGTATTGTATTTTAGGGAAGGGCTTACAGGGTGTTCAGGGTCTCACTACTAGATTGGACTCGTAGTGATCTGCCTGTTTACAGCCTCCCAAGAGCTGGGATTACAGGCATGTGCCACCACACCCAGTCTCAACTGCCATCTCAGCATGCTCTGGGAGCAGGGCTGGCACAGCAGGCCACTGAATTGAACCCCCGGCCCCTGCACGTGCTGGCAGGCGCTTTAATCTGCTGAGCTATTTGGCAGGCCCAAAGTAATTCTTCATTATGTATATACACATATATATCCATTATAATCTGTATCTCATATGAGTGATATCAGTACTGAGGAAGTACTTCACTATATGAGAGGCAATCTTATACTTTTTTGTTTTTTTATTCATTTTAATGAAAAAAAAATAGCAATGAAACAGTTTCAAAACAGGTTAGTAGGGCAGTTACAATAATTAATACATTGCAACTTGTAAGTATTTGTATTCTAATTCATGAAAATTCTTTGTTATCACCAGCCTTTTAAGCTGAGGAAACTGAAGCACACAGCAACTAGCATGTGTGAAGTACCAGAAGCGGGAGCCAGGTTCCAGAATCTGTGTCCTAACAGCTGCACACTATGTCCTTCCTTTGCACATGGTTGGGCAGAGCAGAGGCAACAGAGAGCTCCCAGCAAATAAACGGTGACGGTAACGCAGCAGATTACTCTCCTAAAATCAACAAATAAGCAAGCCCAACATAGGCTGGCTAAGGAGGCGTCTCTGCTTACCGAATTCAGCATGCTGCGGAGCATGCCCAGCAGCAAGAAAGCAGCCTCTGTGCACACATTGTGGATGGACGAGACCACAGTCCCACTGGAGGCTGGGACACCAAAGATAAACTTCCAGATAGAATCCAGATCGAACTGTAGAGGCCAAAGGGAGTAGAGATGAGGCCCTAGGACCTTGTTTTCAGGAGAGATTCTAATAAGTTCCACTATTCTTAAATTTGTTTCTTTTTTAAAAAGTAATTAAAAATAGAGACCTAGCAACTCTCCATCGTCCATTTCAAAACTCATTTTTATAGCTGTATTATGTATTATCTTGTGACCTGTCTTAGGTATCTATGTCTAAAATGCTGCTTTCTATCTTTTTTCTAAATAAGTAAAAATAAAGTACATGTTACTTAGCCAAGATGCTGTTACAGAAGTGATGATTTTTAAGATCTAAAATAGCATGGGGACCTCACTGCCCCTACACTTGGCAATGTTCTAATTCAAATCAAAATTATTTATAGATAAGACTTGAGAAAACAAATCAATTTGACAAGCTGTGTTAGTATCAGTTTTATGTAATACAGTATTACTATGGTGCCAAGCGTGCTTGAAAATCATGTAACCCAGCAGACACAGGGCTCTGGGTCTTGGTTTTCTATAAGGTTCTAGCCGAAGTGATCCTACTTAAAATGTCTTTCAACTACCAGAATCAACCTCAATGTGACTTGGCACTGCATGGAAGCAAAGCTGAGTTGAGAAGTTAAATGCCTAAAACTTTGTAACCCTCATTATATTGATGTTATTAAGAAATTAAAAATATTTTCTAATGAGAACCTGCATCTACTCCTTTCATTTTTAATTCTTTGCAAGTTAAATCATATTTCTAAAAACAATTACACAGCTCTGAGCAGTTCTTTCAACGACCATGAATACCACTCCACCTTCTACGCATACATAATCACAGAGTCTCCACAAAGCAAAAAGGCTGAGCAGTGACCAGGCCCTTCTTGTGGGCAAAGTTGTTTATAGAATTGTCACACTGTTTCCATCCCAAATGCAAGGCAGGTGGTGGAATCAGGAACTGGTTCCACGTGATTAACCCGGACCCGAAAGCGCTGGCTGCGCACAGTCACACGCACACCTTACTAGGTAATTCCTACCTGGCCACCCTGCTTACATCGGCTGCTGGCGACAGGCACACTGACCTGCAGGTTCTCAGGCAGCTCACTAACTGGCTGCTGAAGGAACAAGGCCATGAGGAGAAAATAGAGGGCAGGGACATTGGTGTGCTTAGGGAGGAAGGACTGGAGAACCGGAAAGCCGGGGAAGTGGCAGGCGTCCCGGTTAATCTCCCTGACCGTCGATCGCCCTCCAGCACTCCTGCCCACGTTGAACCCTAAGAGAAGAGGAAATACAACAGTGAAATTAAAACCTGACAAGCACACTGCACAACGAAGGGGCAGTGATTCAGCACATGTGACACATCCACTCCGAACATACAAGTAAGCACAGGCAATGAGCTTTTAGCTGTCCAAGGCATCTTCTGTCAGAAGTCATCCTGTGCAGGCTGACTTTAGCAAGCCTGGCACGGGACAGGCTTGGAAACACAGCTGGGATAATCAAATGCAGGGCTATGAAAATACTTAAGGTGATAAGGTGATACAAATTCTACTCATTTAACTTCAGCAGGGCCTGGTGGTGCACACCTATAATCCCACCTGCTCAGAAAGCTGAGGCAAGAGGATCACACGTTCAAGGCTAGCCTGTGAAATTTAGGAGACCCTGTCTCAAAAATTAAAAAGGCTAGGAGTCTGAGTCACTAGTAGAGTGTCCCTGGGTTCAATCCCCAATATTCCTCACCCCTCTAAAAAAGAGTAACTTCAGAAGAATTCTCTTCTTCCTGATTGCATTCCCTTAAAAACAAAGTATAATTCAAAATATTATAGCTAACCTTGAGAGTGCCACAAAATATAAGGTAGAATATACTTCATGCAGTAGAGTTAGTGTATTTCATTTGTCTTGAAAACCATGACAAATCAGTGAATCTCAAATTATGGATTTAGGGAAAGACTAACTGAAGAAACTGAACCAGCTTCTCCACAGCGTGCAGGGCAGCTGGGCGGCAGCAGGGCAGCGAGCAGGAGCCCCTGGTGTGGCTGGCCGCAGGGCCCTGGCTGGCCGAGTCGTCCGCAGAAGCCCAGCAGTGCTTCTTCTGATGGCTCAGGCACCAGGGTCTCTGCCAACCTGCTCCTCATTCTGCAGTGAGGTTCAAGCTGCTGAACCTGCCCTTTGCCACCCCAAACCTGGTATAGCGCCCAGCACTGAGTGAACGTCAGCCATGTCTTGTGCAAAAAGGAACTGACTGTGGAGAACTCATGTGAAACAAATTGTATTTCAAATAGAGCATCACAGTTTTTCAAGTTTTCTTTTTTCTAGGATGGAGAATTGCACATATTTGGCACTATTTAACATGATAAAAAGCAATTCCTGTCTGTGATGCATTTTATCATAGCCCACTGCTCAGTGTGATGTGAGTTAACCTCCCACTAATTAACAAAAATTGGTACAGCAACTCCTGGGCTCTTTCATACATTACCTTTGAATCATAATTCTTATGTGAATTATAAACTGCTATTATCAGTTTAATAAGAGAAAACATGATAGATGGTCCAAGTCACAGAGCTGAGGAGTGGAGGAACAGGATAGAAGCCTGGTATCTTTTATTAGAGTCTGTAAGACTCTGCTATCTCCTATGTCCCTGTTAATGACTTCTTTAAAGTTTTGAAAAAATGTCTAATTTTTTGTAGGACACTGGACTCATTTTTTTTTCATTATAGTAGGCTCTAAATGAAATTCTTACAAAAAGTAGCACTTTATTCATAAAATAGAAAAATAATCTTGGTCTAACTATAGGTCCTAAAGGCAAAGCAATAGTATGAGGCACAGGGAGGTAGTACAGTGGTAAGAGTGCCTAGTCAGCAAGCAGAAGGCTCCTGGGTTCAAGTCCCAGGACTATAAAACAAAACTAGTTGGCAATTCTTTTTTTTTTTTTTTTTTTTTTGTCCCAGGGATTCTGCAGACCTTGTGCTTGCCAGGCAGGTGCTTATGCCGCTGAGCTATATCCCCAGCCTACAAAATAAAATACAACAACAACAAAACTAGGAAACCAATATTAGCATTGTCTCTGCCTTTTTCGGGTTCCACACTATACTCCCCATGATTAATCTTAAGGAGCACTGAATATACCATGATTGGCATTAGGTGTTTTTAGGTATTAATTCAGATTATGGCTATATGGATGGTATTTTTTATAAAAAATTATAGAACCTAATGAATATGAACTTTAAAGTCAGTGTCATTAGGTTGTTCCTCAGATTACAGAGAAATGGTATCAAATTATACAAATACACACACACACACACACACACACACACACACACAGATAAATATTGAGGAAAACTAAATGGAATGAGATCAAATTTAAACTGAATACTCTGACTCCCTTTCCAGACTCAGGATAGCAGGTATAAGGTACAAGCCGGTAGTGATAGGGGAAAGGTGAGTTCTAATGCACAGAGTCAAATGGGTCAGATATGGAAAATGCACACTTTCTGAACATTACTGAAACAAAGGACAGAAGACGCCCAAGACTGCAAGGAGAGAGAGTCCAGATACCATTAGTCCTGGATCAGAAATCTGATATAACTAACAACCTTAATCTCCTAATTAGAGATGAATTCTTAACTTACACCAACAAGCTGAATTTATCTCTATAAAAATGATTTCTGTACTACGAAGTATGTATCTAGAGATATGAGATAGTGAAAGGATTTTGTAAATCATAATGTTCTCTATAAATCTTAGTTATTATTAATGCTGCTTTTGGCTTCGAAAAAAGTGGTCCTTTCTAAAGAGGGGGCATTTTCTGGCTTAAAATTACACTGTAAACCTACAATGATAAAAACAGCAAGGGTAATGGCAAAACAAAAAACAACAAACAAACAAAAAACAAGACCCAAGATTACTGGAACAGATTGGACAATGCAGAAACACCTCCAGATATACTCAGCCACCTTATCTTTCACAAAGATGCCAAAGACATTCATTGGAAGAGAGCCTCTTTAATAAATGCTGCTGGAAAAACTGGCTACGAACATGTCGAAGATTAAAACTGGACCCATATCTTTCACCATCCACTAAATTAAGAATGGATCATATATCTACATATTAAAACAGAAACATTAAATCAGCTGGAGATAGAATAGGTAAAACTCCTGAAGACATCTGTATAGGTGAAGACTTAATGGATAAAACCCCTCATTGCTCAGGAACTATAACAAAGAATCAACAACTGGGATTTCATCTTATTAAAAAGCTTTTACACAGCAAGAAAAACTGCCACTAGAAAGAACAGACAACTCACAATGTGTGAAAAACATTTGCCTGCTCTTTCTCAGACAAAGGATTACTACTGAGAACATAAAAAGAATTTTAAAAAATCAGACCTCCCAAATTTAAAGACCCAACCCAAAAATGGGCATCTGAGATGAATACTAACTTCTCAGATGAAGAAATACAAACAACAAATAAATGTATCAAAAAAGTTCACCATCACTCATTATTGGAGAAATTCAAATTAAAACAACACTGAGATTCCATCTCCCCCTGAAAAGAATAGCTATCATCAAGAAATCAACCAATAACAAATGCTGGATGGGCTGTGGGGAAAAGAACGTTTTCTAATGTTGGTAGGAGTGTACACTGGAATAACCACTGTGGAAATCAGTGTGAAGATTCGTCAAAAAGCTACAATTGGAGGGCCCATTTATCCAGCTATTCACCTTCTGGGTATCTTTCCAGAAGAATTAAAACATCATACTACAGCAATATATGCGCACCACGTTTGCAGCAGCACAATTTGTCATAGCTAGATGCTGGAAACAACCCAAATGCCCATCAACTGAAGAATGGATAAAGAAACATGCGGTATTTTTATACAATGGAGTGCTACTCAGCCATAAAGAAGGATAAACTGGAGACTTGCATAGGTAAATGGATAAAACTTGAGACCATACTCATAAGTGAAATAAGCCAGATGCACAGTTACAAGCATCCTACTGTCTCCCTGCTGAGAGAAGCTGAAAGAGGAAATGGGATCCTAAATAGACAACAGCCACTATAAAGGGGAAGACACTTCAAAAGGAAAGAGAAACTGGGTTGAGAGAATGGAGAAAAGGGAAAAGTAAAAAAAATAAAATAAAAAAAATATATAGCAGTTAAAACAATTATACTACTAATTTCTTAGTTCATTGAAAAGAAAGGTTTGTGCTAATATTGTTTGGATAATTAAATGCTGATATCTTGTACTCTAAGTAATTAATTTAAAAATAACATACATAATGTATTAACCATTATTACCCTCCTATCATCTTGTTTTGAAATTGTTTTTTCTTTACAATAAGATTATTTTAAAAAAGAAATGGTTCTTTTTTGTTATTCTTTAGTAGATATTCTTTTCTTCTGTAAGCTAAATTTCCTGCTATGAAACTATTCCCAATAAACACATTTTTAGGTTGCAGTCTTACCCAGAGTCCATGCAAAATACTGATCTATTTTTCAGAGTACAAAAAGTACCTATAACAATAATTTAATGTTGGACACAATGATGCACGCCTATAGTCTCAACACATGGCGGGCTGAGGCAGGGGAATCTCCATGAGTTTAAGGACAGCCTGGGCTACACAGTAAGACCCTGTCTCAAGCACATCCTCAAAAAAAAAAAAAAAAAAAAAAAAAAAACAACCAAGAAACAAACCACAGTAACTTAAAAAATATTTTAAAGCAAATGATTTTTCTTCAAAAAAATCATTTTTACTTCATTAGAAGTGACACCTCTTCCTTCTGTATCACATACAAAGTTTCTTTAACAATAACAGCACAGTCCTATGTCAGAAGCTCTGTCATCCTGTCATTCACCTTGATAGCTGAAGTAATACCAGTAACACAGATAATACCTTTACATGTCTTAAATAAACAGACTGCATTTAAATTCTGATCTCTGATCTTTTTTTCTGATCTCTACCCTTTGCATCTGACAAAGCTCTTGTAATCATTTCCTTGGGATCAGACAGACCACAATTACACATGATTTTATGTAACATTACAGGACAAATGTATCATTAAAATACTTTAAGAACTGAAGACCAGTGGGGTGTGGTTGTGCACACCTGCAATCCCAGTGCTCCAGAGGCTGAGGCAGGAGGATCATTGTGAGTTTGAGACCAGCCTGGGCTACAAAGTGAGCAGAAGGCCAGCCTATGCTGCATAATGAAACCCCATTTCAAAAAGACGAAGATGAAGAACTGATGACTATGCTTTTCAACAAAAGCACTATCTTCAAATACATAGTTCCCAAAGTAAGATCATTAATATGAAGAGAACAATGCCAATTCAAATCCATCTAATGTGCAGACAGGACGCTCTGGTTTTCTTGCACTACCTACAAGCTCACACCCATGCTCTGTGTGGCAGGGGACAAACAAGGAGCTGTGGCTGGAGTGCTAGCTGCGGCCCCCAAGCACCGAGAGCAGACTCTAGCTTGGGTGGGGTTCAAACTTCAATACTTTCTAGCTGTGTGGCTTCGAATGGCTTCACACCTGTCTGGCTTTTGAATCCGTAAATTCCTTAGGGTGTCATTTACATTTCATATAATTACTATGTAAATGAAGTAAGTTACTACACAACCAATGTAGTAACCAAAACAGAATGCATACTCAAACATCTATTATCACTACTACTACTTTCCCTGTTGACAATTTGCTAATTATTTACTTATAGATGGCAAGAGGACCCATATTACAAAACATTATAGTAGGAACACAGAGTTTGCAAATCATAATGTCCTATAACTGAATTTGAAAACAAAGTTTTTCATTCTATAATTACAGTTTATGACACGTACTGGTTAACAGCTAACCTGGAGAATAAGCATCTGAAAGATCTGAACACAGAACACAAAGCAGCTGCCTATCCAGGTACCGTACCTAATACAGTTCCGATCTTATTGGTTAGGACGGAATCTGTCTGCTCCAGCCACCCTCCACCGCTGAGCCCTTCTTTGAACTTGATGAGAATGGGTGGGCTGCTCAGCAGGACTACGAGAATGCGCACGGCCGCCGTCACCGTGGTCGGGTGCAGGTGCTCCTCCATGAACATCATAACCCAGTCAAAACCCAAGGTCCTGACCAGCTCTTCACAAGCTCTAGTCACAGACAGGTGGAGTGAAAGGAATGAAATTAATTTCAGGAATTAGGCTTTCAAATTAAAAGATATAATTGAGCTTCATTCCTGAGATACTATGTATTTCATAGTTTAAAAAATGTACATAAATAAAGTCAGTGGCAATTTCATTTTTACTTGACATGATTAACCAGTATTGGCACATGGTATAATCAATTCCAAAGTTTTTACTTACTGCAAGTTAATGCTTGTCTTTTCTTTAGATGTATAAACTAGTTTTAGCAAGATATCTAGCAGTCTGTTCCTCAAAAGTATAAGATTAGCAGACACAAGACCTCCAAACTCCTCTTCTGTTCCTACAATAGAAGAAATACATTAAACTAAGTGTTATGGTTTATGTTGAGATGTTCTGCCAAAGACTCCTGAAATCGTGGGGCAGGCTCTGAGCATTTGTGGTTGATTTATAGCCCAACGCTGGGATCACGGGTGCACGTGCTGCACCCACCCTGGGGCAGGCAACCTGCATACAGTACGAGGGAAGGACAGGGCCGGCTCTTGCTCTCCTCCCTTTCTGCTCTTGCTGTTTTGCTGTCTTCCGCCACCATGGACTGCTGCCCTCTGCCACATCCCACTCTGCCTTGGAGCCCGCTGAGTATGGACTGAATCTACAAACTGTGAGCTAAAGAAACCTTTCCCTCTTTAATTTGGGTGTTGGGTATTCTGCCTGATCAACAAGAGAAAAGTAAGACACTAAGGTAACATATTCAACGTGATCTCCTGAAATCTCACTGAAAAATAAGCCTTTTAGAAAATGTTTTCCACTGACATAGACAAGGAAAAAGATCAATGAAATCATTTCTCTTTAGAGCCATGGAAATTGTTCTTGTACATTTGACAGTACCTGTATAACTAAAAAAGGTTTTAAACCTTATTTTACATTAGTACTCCACTTTATTCTGCAATAGGGGAAAGCCATCAATTAAGGACCATAAAATCAAAGTACTAACTGCTGCCCCAGCCTCTTAAGAACATGAATTTCTAGTTTCTTTTTGAAGGGCACAGTTAAATTTACAAACGTAAATACTGAAAATAAGAAGCACAAATGTATTCAATAACTGTATTGTGAAAAGAAAAATGAGAATCACACAGCCTAGAACAGAGGCAATGACACACAAATGTGGAGGACGGGCACCAGGACTATCTATGAAAGTGGTTGGCCTGGGTTTTGGAAGCTGCTGGTCTAGGTCAGCTTTAGATGGACAGCTGGAGGCGATGAGGCGCCTCGAACATTCCCCTGTATGCCACAGTGAGGCTTGGCTGAACTTTAGGGTTGCATACATACTTTTCCTTATTTGCACCCTGGACATTTATTGGCTTTAAAATGTACTTTAATGTTTTATTCATTACGGATGCTTCAAGTACACCCAGGAAAACTGAAGATCCTTTTTTCTTCCAAGAGGCATAGATTAGTGATTTGCAAATTGTCTTATCAAAAGCATCCCACCATTTGACCTAAATTGCTGTGAGAATCACTTCCTTTAAATACTATTTCTAGAATAAAGTGATAATCTACATAGACATTTAAAATTCTCCCATAAAATTGGATAGCAGTACCTGTATCACAGAGGTATGGTACAGAACACTTAATAGTGTTCAATAAGTGTTGTCCTTGATCTGATCTCTATTCTTCAAATCCACTGCAAATCTGCCTCACCAAAGGAATATCAGTATTGTTCCACAAGAATGGCAGACCCGCCACTAACTCACCCTGTGATTTGCAGTAATTCACTTAGTCTCTCAAAGTCTCCTAACCTCTCCTTTGGAAATCACGATTCCAGTACTTTTCCTTACTTATGACACACGGGAAAGACTGTGCTCAGGACAAAGCAGTCAACATAGAGGAGAAGAACTCCTTTCCAAGGCAGTGACCCTTACATCCAGGTCTTCTGTACCCTCTACAAGCATGGAGTTTTAGATGAATGAAAATCATGCATTTGGTACGCTGGTGAAAAAATGGGAGAGGATAATAACGCTGAATGAAACAGCTATCCATGTCCATGGGAGACCGGTGCTAGGGCCTTCATGAGACACCAACCCCACAGATGCTTAAATCCCTTTTGCAACATGGCACAGCCTCCTCACATAACCTATACCCCCCCCCCATGTTTCAGGTCATCTTTCATGGCCTTATATTACATAATGCAACATACGTGCTATGGCAAAAGGCTGTTCTATTATTGTACTGTTTAGAGAATGACAAGAAAAAACACCTGTATGTGTGCCTCACAGAAGTAACTTGCCCCCAAATATTTTCAGTATCAGGTTGATTGAATCCACAGATGGGAGCCAGGTTAACTGACTACAAATCTGTGAATTTAATCACAGAGGTCAGGCTTTCAGTACCTGCAATAAACTTCCTACCCTAGAATACAGAAGAGAAAACATATGGCAGCAGAGGGAAAAATATGCCGTAAGTGTGCTTTGCAAACGGTGTTCATCATGGACTCAGGAACTCACAACCTACAACTACTTGGATGCAATGTATTACACAGGATATATGATGTGTTATTTTTATATTATTCTTACACAAAAAATAATTCTAATAAAATGTTCTTTATCCCAGTGACTACTAAATACTTACAAAGGAAAATAAAAATAACAGAAAATAGATATAATCCACATAAAGCAGGCATTATATTTCAAAAGGAACATAAATTTTAAAAAATCAAAAAATGTTCAAATGACTAGAATTTGTTAAAGGCTACAAAAGCTGTAAAATTTTTATTGGTCTGAAGATCTTACTCTTAAAGTAAAATTTACTTCAAAGATCCCACTATATTTTGTAGGCAGTGCTATCCTTTTGCATACTGAATGGGCTTGATATAATGCAGATACATCCCTGAAAGTTCAAAAAATGCAAAGTAAGGAAAAAATATATAACATCATCACTTTGTAGCAAAAGAGAAGGGTACAGCAGTTAGTTAATTTCTGTCTTTCTCAAACTCTAGGATCAACTTACCAGTGTCAAGTTTCTCTTCATTATTTATTTCCATAACTACAAATTTCTCACAAACTGCAAAGGTTGGCAAAGTAGAAGAAATAAACTGGCCAAACCTTTAAATAAGGGGAAAAAAAGATTATGAATTTTATTTTTCTTTCCTCAAAACAAGTAACAAAATACAAAGAAATGGAAACAAAACAGTATTTCTTATTTTTATCTCTTGGGCATTTACTTGATGTATTTGTTTTTCCTCATGGACCATCTCCAATAACAAATATATAACACTAACATACATACACAATGTTTTTAAAATACAGGGAAAATTTAGGTCTTTAGAAGTATGAATTTTTTAATGCACTAACTCAAATGGTTTCAAAACCCAAACAGCATGATTGATTCAAGTTCAAATGTTCTGAATTATCCATATGGATACACCATAGTGGAGTAATTAAGAATTTGGGATTCAGAAATACAGATAGAGTTAAAATTGTAGCTCTAATATTTTTTAACTATGTGACCCGGGTCCAACAGATTAACTTCTCTGAGCCTTTGTTTCTTCATTTATAAAGGAGGGAAAAAATTAAAACTTCGAAAAGTTTTGGTTATAGTTTTCCAATAAAGCAATCAGTACAATACCAGGAAAAATTATAAATAAATATTGGTGATAATGCTAATTTCCCAAAATAACTCTCAGTGTCCAGGTCACCAACTTAAAAAAAACAATTTTTTTTAAGTCACCAACTTAAAAAAAAAATTTCTAGGTAAATTAATATAAAAATGAACGACTGCCAACTCCACAGAATGGAGACTGGCTGACTGAGGGTGATCTAACCCAGGGGTGTGATTTCACCTGCGTCATCCAGGGGATCACATGAGAAGTGGTGACCAAGCCCAGTCTATGCAACTGCCTACCTGAACGCTATGTGGCTTAGGTAGTTTTCATCCATTTTTAGATGGGGATTATGATATAAACAAATGTATATTTGTGCAAACATTCCACAAATACGCCCTACTACTACATCAAAAGAATACATCATACAGTCTTAATATGTAAGAATAAAATATATCTGAGCGCTAGAGACCAAATAAAAAAGTGGTGATGTGTGTGTGTGTGTGCACGTGCACAGCTGAAAATTAGCAGGGTTTGGGGAAAAAGGCAGCAGTCTGAGAATTCTGCATTGAACATTTTCGTGTGGCCAATATCCACATCTTTTCTATGATTCCCCAGGGGCAACGACTGTCGCTGCCCTAAAGGGGCAGGACCCCAAGGCCCTGAGTGTAGTGCACACCTTCCAGAGGTCTCCAGTGGCATTGACAGGACAGGTGCTACACAGACACAGGAACCATCGCGTGCACCTCATTCATCCAAACTCACGGACCCTTCTAGTCACTAAGAAGACAAACGCAGGTGTTTTCACTACCTGAGCAGATCATTGCTGTTGGGGAAACCTTGCAGCAAGAAGCTCAGCACATTACTAATAGCAGCGATGGTTGGCTGGGACAGAGACATATCCCGAAGAGTCAGGAGCAGCTTTGGGATTAACTGGAATTCCCTCATTAGCTTGGCGTTCTTGGAAGCCTCACTGCAAAAGAAAGAAGGATGAGCCCACTGTCCTGTCAGTTTCCCTTTCAGTGAACAACCATCTCCTCGAGGAGAAACTGATACCTGGACTCAGTCAGCAGCTCAATGAAATGTTCAAATAAGGAGAGATGAAGCTCATATGGTGCATGGAGCCAGACCTGCAATATAAAGAACAGTATAGATTTAAAGTTAAAAAATGCCACAAATGCTAATCCAGTGACAACTAATCAAGCATTTCACTTATATAAATAATTGACTATAATTCTTACTGATTTTTATTTTGTAACTCCCTTATGCATATGAGGAAAACAAAATCACTATGAACAGGCCAAAAATGACAGATGGAATTATCATGCTTTAAGTCTATATCTAAGTGTAAATATGCTCTACACGTTTGAGAATAAAAAGGATGAGCATAATGAATAGATGAATGGAAGACAGCCATAGCTGCTAAATGAACTCCTCGATGTAACAAAATATCTAAAGTGGAAAATGTACCAGATGACATGACTAGCTGATTAGACATTGCAGAAAAAATCAATCTGTAGTAGATACTACTCACAAGAAAGTACCAGGAAAAACAGCAAAACAAAGGGCCAAAGGGTAGACTACTTATTTGTGAAATAATACCAGAATCTAAGGTATTATGTGTGACTGCTGCTCAGAAAAGGGAAGAGGGACAAGAGAAGAACTGAGGCTGAGCAGTTTCAAGCTTGAAGGGGACCTCGCAGGTCAGCAAACCCATAGCAGAAGAGCACAAGGCAACAGGCCGACTGGTATCTTTACAGTGGGAAAAAAGATAAAAGTCGTCAGCCAGAAGTGTATTCCACGCAAATGTCCTGCCCCAAAGGGGGCAAAAGGTTTTCAGAATTTATCACTAGCATGGCTGCCTTTCAAAAAGTGTAAAAAGAATTTATACAGACAGAAGAATCAAACTTGACGGAAACAGAATGGCATAGATACCACACATGTGGGTAAATAAAAGAATTTTTAAAAGTCCTTTTAAAAAGTTAGGGGCTGGGGAGATAGCTCAGCAGTCTAAACACCTGTCCGGTAAGTGCAAAGACTTGGATTCCACCTCCGGCACTGCATGCCATGCAGGCCCCGGAACCCTGGGTGTGCCAAGCTGGCCACCAAAACTGGGCATGGTGGCATGCATCTGTAATCCCACTGCTGGGTAGGCTGAAACAGGAGGATCAATATGAGTCTGAGCTGTGTAGCGAGACCCTGCACCAAATAAATAAATAAATAAATAAATAAATAAATAGAAAAAAGTTAGAGCAAAAAGAGTAAATCTACCTTGGAGGTTAGGAAATACAAAAGTCACTGTATGAAAGCACACGCAGAAAGGACAGGAAGAGCGATTTGGAGAAACTGAGTCACACTGGATAGGTCTTGAACTAGCAGGAATGTCTTTAGATGAGCAATGTAAATTCTAGGCAGCACTGTACGTTTGGATACTACTACATGTTACTTATGTTTGTGAAAGGGCTGAGTTAAAAATGGGATGAAGTAAGTGTTTAGAGCCCACTTGAGGTTTGGGGGAATAAAAGATACTATCAGCCATAAAGTCTGCAATATGCTGTGAAATGAAACCAAAATCTGTAAGCAACTACTTGTCTGATCGTTACGTATCAGATTTTAACTGGAAATTTAAAACTAAAGACAGTCCATGATTTGAATTTGTTAGTTACAGACAAAAACAATGCTAAGCTGGGCTAGGCAGGCAGGCTCCTTAGTCCTCCCAAATCCTGCACCCGCTTCTCTGTGCTTTCATAAATCCTGGTCTAATTCTTTGCCTGTATATTAGAGCATACTAGCCACCTTAAGGCACAGACTCTTGAAGGATTTTTTTCCCTGTCCTGGGAAGTTTTTTTAAAAACATCTTTAGCAACTAATATAGTGGCTGACTCAAAAAATAACAAGTATATTCTAAAAGAGAAAGAGGCTTCAAATAAATACCAAGCTTAGAAATTTATATTTATTATGTAGGAAAGGGAAATCACTCTAAGTTCTTGAAAATGTGAGATAATTATACTTGAACAACAACAAAAAGGAAAGAAAGGTCACAAGGACAGACAGGACAGCCTGAGGAGGGGTAGGAAGAATGATAGGTACGCTATGAGCTAAGAGGGTTTGGATCAGGCTGCAGCAGAACCAGAAAATGTAGATTATAGGAAATGCAAAAACAGTATCTACATGACCGAGTGTCAACCCTGTTTATAGGCAGGGAGGAAGGAGGAGTCTGATTTTATAATTTCAGACCCAGGGAATGGTGTTTATTAGTAGAAACAGGAAAGTCAGAAGGAAGAACTAATTTGGGGAGGGATGTTAAGTTCAGTTAAGGTATTGCTGGAACATAAAAATGGAACTGCTGAGCAAGAAGTTAGAAAAAAGTCTGGAATTTGGATGTCAAGGTTAGAGTCTAAAGCAAAGCAAACCGCAGCAAAGATAAAGGAGTGGGACTGGATTTTTACTTAAACTATGAAGACAGAGAAGTCAGAAAGTGATATTAAAGGTAGCAGAAAGGATGAGAATCGGTGGTCCTGGAGAGCGGGGAAGAGACATGCAAGTTCCAAGACAGCCAAAAACTATTAACACCACTTAGGGCTGCAGGGGCTGTGTTCTGCGGACAGGCCAGAGTTTGACTTGGAAGGAAGCCATGAGGAAGCTCTGAAAATATAGTTTCAATCAAATAATTAGGCCTCAAAGTCTGCTTTCTAGGGGATCCTTAAGTGACCCAACAGCATACAGGAACCTTAAGAGAAAAGAGCAGTGGCTGCGGGTCAGGGTTGGCAAGCTTCTGCTGGGAAAGGGGCACAAAAGACTTAGGAGACACAACCTCTGCACTCAGAGTGCCTGGGGACCCTGCAGGCTTCCGGACTCAGCGTGCAACTTAGTGTGTGGCAACTCACACACAGAACACACTGCCGAAGGACACGAGTGCTTCATGGGTCCCTGTGGAGCGAGCAGAAGCTCTCCTGGGCAATGAGATAGCAGAAAGCAAATGATGAGACTGGCAAAATGAACAGGGCTTTACTATGTAGTTGCTACTAACGAAAGTTATAAACCAAAATTCTTGCTTACTGCAGAAAAGTTTCTACCAGAATTTTCTGAATGAAAATGTTTGCCTCTTATAAAGCACTGGATTAGCGAGTTAAGCAAAGGCACTGCACCGCTTCACCTCGGTATAGTTCGGTAGAATATATGTGGAGGGAAGGAGCTTAACTAGGACCCTACTTTTTTGTTTTACTACCTCATATTAAGTATGATCATCACAAAATTGTAGAACTTGAAACCCATCTTAGAGAAGAGAGTTCAAATCTGTCATTACATACAATAAGAAAAAGCTTCATCAAGTGTGTACTGTTATGAGTCAGTGTTTCTGCAGATACCTCAAAATCACAAAGAAGGTCCTGGAAAGCGGTGGAATTCGGAATGATGGAGGTCTCATGCCCACTGTCAACAGTTCCCACCAGGGAAAAGGTCAGGTGAAGGATGTGGCTGTTAAGGAGAGGTCGCTTCTTCTTAAGCAGCATCGCCAGCAGCTATAAGAGAGCAAGAGGCCAGCATCCACGGGTAAGCACGCCGGCTACCTCTCACATGCGCACCTACGCGGAGCAATGCCTATGCTAGCTTCTGAATTTGTACTGTGTCCAAGATAGCATTAGAGAAAATCTGAGAAACCAGTTCTTTCATTCTACTGCAATACTCACTTTTACATTAACCCCTTAATTCCACATAAATGTTTAGCTAGTCGCTGCTGTCACACAATGCAATTCTGTGCTTTTTCTCTATACATACTCAAAAGTATTATTCACTTTGCAATAGACTTTGTATGTAGAAATTTAAAGGCTTAATGGTATAATGTAGGGTATTTATAGCACACTTTGCAATCATCATGTTATTGGTACTTATAGTTGGTTCCTTTCTGTGGGTAAAAAAAAAAACAAAAACAAAAACGCTACAACAATCATTTTGAAAGTATTGCAAAGCAGAGCACTCATGAAAATGGTGTAATTAAATCTATACAGTTCAGTAAACAGCATTTTCATTACCAGTAGACTAACTGCTAAAGTTATAATGTTGTAGAAGTTATCTGTATTTCATCTATAATAGAGGACTTTAATTTTGCACCAAATACTTGTTTTGCATTACTTTTCCTCTGTGGTGCTGGGGGTTAAACCCAGAACCTTTCACACACAAGATGTATATTCTACCACTGAGATGCATTTCTCTGTGTTTCTGTCTCTGTCTGTCTTTATCTCTCTGTCTATCTCTGATAAACTGCTGCTAGGTGGCTGTCTGTTTGTCTATTTGGGATACAGGTGGTGCTAAGCTGCCCAGGCTGGCCTGGGACTTGCAATCCCCCTGTCTCAGTGTCCCAAGAAGCTGAGATTACAGCTGTGTACCCCACACCGTGGCTGCTCAAATTACTTCTTACAGGTAAATTTCCGCTTAACTCTTGCATAGACTGTGAATGCTGCTTATTTCCAACTCCACTTGAGTGTTTAGGAATAGTGAAGGCACACTGATCCTCTAGTGGCTTTGCATTTCCTGACCAAGCATGGGAGATAATCAGGTGGAAAGGAGTCACACAGAAATCAGATGTGGCAGTCTCCTGAGTAGGGCATGAGATGACCCTGTCATTCCCACTGCCACAAAATACCCAATAAGCACATAGTCGATGTGCAAGTGCTGCCACAGCTCCACAGCAAGGTTCTACACCCAAATTCAGTCAGACGTGGGTTAAGGGGTGGAGGTGGGAATGCCTGCAATCCCAATATTCGGGAAGGCTGCGATAGGTTCCACGCAGTTTAGATGTGCTCTCTCTCCACCTCCTTGCTGGCCAGTGGGTTGCTCACTACAAGTTGAAGGTCAGTCTGGGCTACAGGGTAAATTCAAGGCCAGTCTGCACTACACAGAGAGACTCTTCCTCCAAAACAAATTCTCAAGCCCCCCAAAAAATTTGGAATAGATTTTTTTTCTTGTCATAATTTCCTAGACAATACGGATTTACAAAGCACTTATATTGAATGAGACATTGTAAGTAATCTAGAGGTAAATTAAAGTATATAGGCATTTGACTCAGCTATTCCCTTTTGGGAATCTCCCCAGAAGAGTCAGGCAACATATCCCAGTGACCCATGTATACCCATGACCACAGCAGCACAACTCATAGCAGCTAAATGTGGAAGCAGTCTTTATGTACAAACAAACAGATGAAAGGATAAAGAGAATGTGGTATTTACCTACGGAGTCGTACCCTGCCATAAAAAAGATAAAGTGGGGTCCATTGCAGGAAAATGGATGCACCTTGAGACCATAACGCTAAGTAAAATAAATCAGACACACAGGCTTAAATATCGCATGTTTCATGTATAGGAGAAACCCAAAATACAAGTAAAAAGCAAAGTAAAAGGCAGGTCATAGGAAGCAGGGAATCTTCAACTGGGAAAGCAACAAGAGGCGTGGGGAGGAAGAGAGGAAAAGAGGATTTTAAAAGGAACTGAAAAGCATGGAAACAGAGCTTTGGAAATGGGAAAGGGGCCAGGAGGTGGAAGAGGTGGGGTGGGAGGGGAGGGGCAGGAGAGAATGGAGGCACGTTACAAATTGTTCCAGCTCCCCATAACCATTATGTCCTGCAAAATGAAGTAATAAAAATAAAAATCAAGCAGATAAAGCACACAGGGAGATATGCATAACTGTATGTAGAATCTGTTCTGCTCTGGACAAGACCTGAGCATCTGCAGATTTTGGCATCTGAGGGGGTGGGGAGCGCATGGTCATGGAGGTGGGGCCACTGTCTCTTCAACTGCACCCATCAAAGCTGTGTGTAACCAATGTTGCCAAAGTCAAGACTGGCGGAGAAGGGAGAAAAAGGAGAAAGGAAAGTGAAGACAATGGCGCAGCCCAGGTTGGTACGCATGACTTCTCATGATGGCACCTGGCAGGTTCAGTGCCTGCAGGCAGAGTGAAGGGAAGGCCCGGCAGCGAGGTACAGACCTGGTAGCCCCTGATCCTCTCCATCTCCTTGCTGGCCAGTGGGTTGCTCTTGGCCACGCACACCAGGGCCTTGACAGCAGCATAGAGCCCCTCCACGTCGGAGGCCATGGCCACCAGGCCCAGGATGGCCGCCGCGCCCCCGATGTACTGCAAAGTAGTGGCAACAGGCTTAGGGACAAACGTTCTTACTCCTGATTAAAAGACAGTGAGAAACAATTAAATTCCCCATGTCAACAAGAACCCAAGCAAGCATCTTAAGTAGCCTGTTTCTAACTAGAAACTTGAGATTTTAAAAATCTCCTGCTCTACAATAAAAATTCTAAACAACTAAAATTCACAGGTATATAGAAGGGGTCCTGTATACACCTGGAGCAGAGCAGGGGGCAGGATGCAGAGAGGACCTGGGTATGTCTGTGCTAGGTCCATGAGAGTGACCTATAGGCCTCAAAAGCAGAGGTGCAGGGGACGTGGCTCTGAGCTGCACAGGTGGTCTCAATGGGCTCTGTTGGGGATGTACTGATGCAGCTTCACCAATGACAATGCAATCAGGGAAGGTGCTGGTGGGGAGGAGGCACCTTCCATCTCTGGCCACTACCAAGGCTGCTCCAGGTTCAGGGATGTAGTGACAGGGTGGGTATGACTCCAGGGAGCCCAACTTCATAGAAGCACAATCCCATCTCTAACTGTGCCCATTCAAACCATATCTACATTCTCAACATTTTTTTATTAATTTTATTGAGAAACAAATAGCAATGAGACAGTTTCAAAACTGATTAGTAGGACAGTTTCAATAATTAATACATTGTATATTGTCTTTGTAGTGGTTATTCATATTATAAGATGCAGACATGATATCCTATCCAAACACTATTAGTACAAATCTTTCTTATTGAATGAAGAGAAAGTAGCTGTATATCTATCCTATTTCATATATACAGATACAAAAAAAATGGTTTTAAAAAAAGGGTAATAAATGAAAACAAGAGACAGAAAATGTCATAGGACTGTCCAACATTGTTACAAAAGGCATCACTTATATATCACTTGCTTACTGCTCAAGCTGAATTTAAAAAATATGAAACTAGTTAGTTGAGCATGGTGGTGAATGCTTACAGTTCCAGCTACTCTGGAGGCTGAGGCAGGAGGACCATGTGAACCAGAAGTTTACAATACAGACAGCACCTTAAGGTAGAAGGGAGAACACACACATACACACACACGCGCGCGCGCGCACACACACACACACACACACACACACACACATAAGCAGCAATTTTTTTTTTTTTAAGGGACGGGTCTACAGGGTGTCCAGGGTCTCACTACTAGATCAGACTCATAGTGATCTGCAGGTTTACAGCCTCCCAAAAGTTGGGATTACAAGCACATGCCACATGCCCAGTCTCAATTGCCATCTCAGTGTGCCCCAGGGGGCAGAAATGGCATAGCAGGCCCAGGGATCAAACCCTTGGTCCTTTAATACACTGAACTATTTGGCCGGTCCATAGATTTTTCTTTTTCTTTTTTTTTTTTTGTATTTAGGGCAGGGTCTACAGGGTCTCACTGAGTAGATAATAAACATAGTGATTCTCCTGTGTACAGCCTCCCAAGAGCTGGGATTACAGGCAGCACCACTACGCCCAGTCTCAATGGCTCAGAGTATCCAGGGTTGGAGCAGGCACGGCAGGCCCAGGGATGGAACTCCCAGCCCCTGTGTCTGCTTAAGCAGGGGCTTTAATCTGTTGAGCTATTTGGCCGGCCCTCCAGCAAACATTAATATACATTTTATACTTCTATGTGCTTTGCAGTATTTATAACATTCTCATATGGTATGGCACTAGATTTTAAAAACTGCCTTTTAGGGCAGTCAGATCAGTCCCATCAGTTCCTCGGTAAGAAAAAAGGTGTTCACAGAGCTAATGTGTGACCTGATGTCCACAGGGACAGCGGAGGGCTACTCCCTAAAATCGTGGGCACCTCCCACACTCCTCTTGCTGTGTCCCAGTATTGCTGTGAAGGGACAGGGACACAGAGCCGTGCACAGTGAGCACTTGTGGAGCGCAGGAAGGACGCCACCACAGGCGTGGCACGAGGGACACTGTTGACAGGGCAGCGGTGTCAGGAGGACAAGCAAAGCTGGGCTGCGCACACTGTGGGGCATCACCACCTGCCAAGCGCTGGTGGACTTCCCTGTTTATGGGATTCAGGCCAACACGGCACCAGCTCCTTGCTCATCTGAAAGGCACCCGCGCCATGTACTGCTCGGCACAGCAAAAATAGCGACTATGAATTCTGGAGGGCCTGGCTGCATTTCAACCCAAGATCTTACCTAACAATAACAAAACCCTTGAAAAACCAAATGAACAAAAATAAACAAAAAACCTTTTTAAAGAGATAGCACACCTAAGGCTCTGTAGACTGTCCACCACTTATTACAGGAAGATGTAATATTTATATTCAGAAGCTGTTATTTTTAGACATTTCTAAGTAATAGAAGAATTCACTAGAAAAATCACTGAACTGAAGAATGAAACAATTGATACTCATCCTAAATTTTAATACAAGTTTTATGTTTTTTCCTATGTCACCTGAAATTCATGGCAAATTATATGGAAATATGTAGTCACTGCCAATTTGTGCTCAAAAGAGAAAAAATATTAATAAGAGTCCATGGAAAGTTATAATTTTTAAAGTTGACTGCAAATCAAGATTGTCAAATTAAAAAAAAAATCTCTAAACACTGAAATTTATTGGAGGGCCAGCTGGAAGTCCAACTTGGCAAGCTGTGAATCTATACACTGTCAAGTGAGGAAGGAAACAGCACAGACATGGACTCACCCAAGTATCCAATCAAAGTGGCCCCGATGGTCCGAGCAGGTCCATTCAGGTGTCCTGCAGAATTATGTATCAATTTCACCGGAGTGGCATTCTCGTGGGAGGAGATGCCTAACTAAAGAATAGCAAAGAAAAGTAATGTCATTATAGATGAACAGCCTGAACATTTTTACTGGAAAAAAAACAAAATAGATAATTTTGATGAAGTTTGCATTAGCAGTTGTTGATGTATCTTTTGTTTGTCCCCTTATTAGAATGTTTAAGAAAATAGGCATTTATTTTTTAAAATGTGTAAGTACTTCCAACATGTGGAAACTCTTCAAAAGTAAGTGAAGGCTACCAAGAGGCAAGAGCCCTGGCCCACAGCACCAGAACTCTTGGTGACAAGGGTCTGACATGGGCTGCTGGCTGTTCTCACCCAGGGCCTGTGGTGTGCCTCATCGGTCAACATTGTAGCTTTGCCCCAGATCCAAGAAAACTTCCTTCTCACAAACTACCAGAGCTCCCAGGTAAAGTATGTGTAGGAAGTGCTAAATTCTCTGTGTGCGTACCATGTACACACACATACATAGCAATTCATAAATTATACATGCATAAAGAAAGCATCAATTCAATACATACACAAAACACACATGCACAAACATATACAGAGGCAGGAATTTATCTTTCATCCACTCTCGTATCCTGAACAAAATCATTCTTGACACAAAGTAGGGGGTCTATAATGGTTTGTGTCTCGGTGTCCCCCCATAAAGCCTCATGCAGTCATGGGGTTGAGCTTCAATCAATTTGTGATTGATTCATGGCCCAAGGCTGGGATTATGGGTGAGTGCTACCCCTGCCCTGGGGTGGGTCTCCTGCATACCATATAAGGGAAGAAAACAGCCTTGTTTTGGCTACTCCTCACCTTCTGCTCTCAGCTTTGGCTGTTTCCCACCACCATGTGCCACTCTGCCTTGCAGCAAGCCAACTATGGACTGAAACCTCCACAAACTGAGCTAAATAAACCTTTCCTCCCTTAACTTTGGGTGTTCGGTATTTTGTCTCAGCAATGACAAAAAAGAAATCAAGATAAGATCCATGAAAAGATGTTGAATGACAACTTTCCAAATAGCAACTGTCAGAATAAAACCTGTTCTCCAGAAAAGTTCAACTTCTCATCTGTCAATACAAACATAAGAATTAGTAGAAACCATGTACTCAGACATTCTCACTTTCAGCTAAGTAACTGCATATGCTTTGGCTGAAATTAGAAGCCTGATAAAACCATATATGAGCAATAGCCAAAGGAAATAATATGAGAAAGATTAAAATATGCTAACTGGAGTCCCAGAATAAAAAAGGGGGAAAACAGCAGGTATTTGAAGAAACAATAAATAATTACTGAAAACTTCAATTTAGTGAAAGCCATAAATCAACAATTAAGAGGGCCACTGAATTCGAATCAGGCATGCTTTTTTTTGGTAATGTATTTGGTACATGGTCTCACTATGCAGCTCAGACTCTTGGACTCATAGTGCCCCTCCTGTCTCAGCCTCCCCAGTGCTGGGATTACAGGTGTGTACCACCACACCCAGTGGCCAGCTGAGTGCGCCTGAGGGCAGGGCTGGCTCTGCCTACAGTGCTGGACATTGAACCCTGGTCTCTGTGCTTGCCTAAACAGACACTTAGTTCCCTGAGCTATCTCTGCAGTCCTGAATTCCAATCAAGATGCAGGTTTTTCAAAAGCCTAAGTATGTCATACTTGATTCAATAAAGGGCAAAGGTAAAAAGCAAGTTTTGAAAGTACCCAGAGAAAGGTAAGTGGAATATTACAGACTTCCCCAAAGCTGGAGGACAAAGCAACAATAAAACAACATGTAAAATGCTAAGAAAAACAGAACAAAACAAAATTCCCTGCGGAACAGTCTTTCAAGGAATCTACTGGTCAATGGTGAAGCTGCACTCATTGTTACAGCTGCACAAGGTTACCAACAACTTAGTGTCTTAACACACATTAGTAATCTTACAGCTGAGTTCTGAAGGACAGAAATAAAAACTGGAAATCAAAGCATTCAATTCAAGACACTGGCAGGGCTCTGCTCCACTAGTGGCTCTAGAAGAGACCTCACTTCTTGCCTTTTCCACCTCCCACTGGCCCCTGGTGTTCTACAGCTTCATGTACCCTGTCTTTGACTCTAATGCCAGCAATGACAGTTGGGTCTTCTCTCATGTACTGTCACTCCGAAATATTTTCTCTTCTGCCTTAGTCTTCTACTTTTAGGGACCCTTGTGACTCATGGTGCCCACCTGGGATATCTGGGATAATTTTCTTGTTCTGAGGTGACTTGATTACCTTGATTAATTCCAGTGTTACCTGAAATCTACAATTTCTTTTTCTACATAATGTAACACATTCTCAGGTTCTGGGAATTATACTGAATATATTAAAATAAGAAAGAAAACATTTTCAAATAAAACAAAAATCCAAGAGACGCACTCTTCTTCACAACCATTCATGCTTGGGCAATAAGCACACCAAGGCTCTAGAAACTTCCCAGTGAGGGCAGCAGTACACAGGAAGGTTGCTCTGTTTACCTGTTTAGCAATGGCCTTGCTGTCCAGCTTGTTGTACACCTTCCGAATCCGCGCCACAGTCAGGGAGGACACAGACAGTGCATACAGACCGAAGGACACCTTCTCCTCTGGGACTAGGGACACAGGCAAGGGCACGACACCTTCTGATTTTGCATCTTTACCTTCAAAAGAATAATTCTCTTCAAAATCATGAGTAATTCTCTATACCCTAATAAATTTTTAATTCTATCATTTTTAACTGGGTAAACTTCAAAATCTTTTGAAGTGAAGGTAGCTAAATTTAAAAACTTAATTTTTAGCTCTTCTTACGGCATTTAATAGTAAAATAGAAGTCTAGCCATAGAATTCACATTCTAAGTGTTGCTGTTTCATATTTTTTTGTTTTTTGTGGGGACAGGGTCTGGCTTTGTAGCCTAGGTTGGCCTTGAACTTGTAGTGATCCTGAGGTCTCACCTCCTGTGTGCTAGGATTATAGATGTGTGACACTATATCTGGCCCAAGATTTACTCTTAAAAATACGCTCAACATAGTGGAATATAAGGAGATGGAATTTTAACTGCTATTAGCAAACTGTCAAACACCCCTGAACTTCAGAGGAGAAAGGGAAGGCAGGGAAAGGGCTGCCTCTGAGTGTGGCAGCACAGGCCTCACCCCAGTGAGAGTCCTCGCTTACACCTTGCTGTCCCTGCCAAGCACAGCAGGGAAGCGGAGAACACATGCTTAGCAGCTCGACGGGCTCATTTTGAGCACGTGTGTGTGTTTATTAGGCCAACTCGTTCTTCCTTTCATGACAGCAGCTACACTTTACTTTTAGCTTTAATTTTTTGAGGGAGGGCTGGCTTCAAGCCTCACAGCAATTCTCCTGCCTCAGCCTTCTGAGTGCTGAGATTATAGATCTGCGCTACCATGCCCCACTGAGAACTTATAGAAAGAGTAAAGAGTTAAGACTCTTCCAGAGGCTATCTCAATGTCTTTTTTTTTGTGTGTGGTATCAGGGATAGAACTCAGGACCTTACACTTACCAAGCATGTGCTTAAGCCACTGAGCTGTATCCCTGGCCCTTATCTTAACATCTTTGAGCTGGAATGAGATCTTGGGGAATTAGTGAGCAGGTAAAAGGCATGATCAGAAAAGCCTAGCAGAAGCAGTGGCAGGAAGCGCTTTAAACGGGAGCGAGCAGCCAACAGGCCTTTGCTGGAGAAAATGCAGAAAGGCAGGCACTTTGTGCATCTGCTCACAAAGCACTGACACTGCTAAGAACCAAAGCGAGTTACTCACACGGCATACACACCGCCTGAAAGCTCCCCACGTAGTTTGGTCCAAGCTCATAGATGGTGGTGACACTGGAAGGGGGCAACACTTCCTCCAAAAAGTGGGCAGGCCCGAGGCGCCACACCAGCGACGCCACCTGGCGCTGGGCAGGGGGGGTCCCCACGTAGGCATAGACTGTGCTCACCACTGGGGGGTTTGCGGAGCCAGAGCCCCCAGGCGTGCTGTGGACGTAATGAAGCTGCCAGGAAGACAAGTGAAGCAGTAAGATGGGAGAAGCGTTTTTACCAGAAGACTGATGACTTCAGCTTGTGGATTTTTATTCTCTCCAAACGTACAACTTCACAAGAGACCAGAATAATCCTTGTGGGCAATGCAGGGCAGGGAAAGATTTGGACCTGCAACTGGTCCTGAGATGCAGCTGCAAAGCCTCTTACCACATTCTGAAGGTAAACCCAGGCTAGAAACGACAACACTGACACAGAGACACCAGCACTATCTGGCCGCTTGAGACTGTAGGGTGGATATAAAACAGAACTTTCCACTATGGAATTCAAGTAGTCTTAAAATTAGTTACCTTCAATGACAGTCTGCTAATTAAAAGTACTGATGAAAAGCAGCTTCTGGGGGCAAAGAATTATAAAACACTAGAAACTACTAAAGAAAAAAAGTCTATATATGCCATCATTTATATGCACAAATTTTAATCTCAGTGTAAAATACTAACTACTGATGAATGATATTCTCAGATTTACAATTATACTTCTGATTACCGACAACGCCTAAGTTAGTAATTTATTTACAATAAATGTATCAGCAAGTAGAGCAGAAGACATAAGGAAAGGAAGCTGCTTTTGCTAGTGCAGCTTCCATAATGTTGCCTGCATCTCTTAATGGGAGGGACATTCATGCCATCACCCCAGCTTCAACCCACACCTATTACTGCACCTAATTCCACTGGATTTTGTAGAAAGTAGTGGCATGTTGAGTCATTTTCAAAAAGTGTTTGCAATTAGAAGTTTCAGACTTCAATTTATTAGTTTTTGGAACATCTTCACAGATTTCATTGGTTGAGTATCTCCAAGCCAAAAATACAAACTTCAAAGTGCTCTGAAATCTGAAACACTCTGGGTGTCAGGCTGGCACCTGGAGCCTTGGGTCTTGAAGCACTCTGGATATCTGGATTAGTGCTGCTCTCTCACAGCAATATTCACTCCTGGGCAGAAAATACAGCTCATGGGCTCTCCACTGGTTACTTCAGTTCTCGTCAGAGTCCACAGTCAGGTCTACAGGATCATTCACTCAGCAAGCATCACACTGAACCCAGTGGTGGCAGGTTTCTCTACCATGTTCTAGGTCTAGGGTTCAGTCCCCAGCAACACACTCTCTCTCTCTCTCTCACACACACACAGGCTTTCTGCCGGGGACAGGTCAGCATAGAACATGCACTTAGTGTGGTCCAGACCCTGACTTCAGTCCAAGCAACACAAAGAAAAACAACTGAATGCCCATAATTATCAGGGACTAATCCAGGTCAGCAAACACAGAGGAAAAATTCTCTAGCTTTCAAGGGAGACAGACTTCTGGACTAAATTACTATGGCAACAGAGTAGTGACAAAACAGTACATTCACAGTTCACTGAAGCCTCCTTCAAGTTGTACCGTTAAATGAAAAAGAACTCAGCAATCTGGCCCAGGGCTGACACAGTCAGTACAGTTGTCATCACCTCATCACCTGACATTTCTACTCCTCTTTGACACAGCTGCAGGAATCAGGTGGCCCATATAACCCTAACATGTTGTTCAAGTGGATACTGAAAGCCAACTACAGTTAAGACTGTAAATGCTCCTCTAACACACACATGTACATGCATGCATGTACACACACACATGCACATGCATGTCCTGGGAAGCCCATGGCATGGAGGCAGACACACAGGCAGGTGGGCAAGCATACCTTGACAGTGCTGACCAGCTGCCCATCGATGTACAGCGTGGCTGTGCTGTTCTTCAGCATGCCCTTGCTCATCACCAGGGCCAGGTGGTGCCACTGCCCCTCCACAATCAGCTCTCCGCATCGGAAGCGTGCACAGCAGGGCAGAATCTCATAAAAAGAAGATTCTTCACTAAAATCATCAACTGAAACAATAAAAGAAAGATGCAAACGCCTGTGTTAGTAACATCCCTATCCTGATAATTATTTGCACCCCCATAAGCATGATGTGACTTCATGTTAAAACAAATAAAATGAGGCACATGAACAGAGCCTATTCACATAACACTCATCCGTAGTCAGAATAAAACCCACATCTCCTCCAGCCAGATACATAGTTATAATCAAAGAAAGTCTCAACAGCAAAGGAAATAAAAGATGTTAATGCAATAAAATAATGTGATGATAAACGATGTAAGAGACTAGCTGACATCAAAACCCAGGACAAATCAGGTTGAAAGTTTTCTGTACAACGAAGGCAACAACACACCAGCACAAAGGCAAACTATGGAATGAAAATGTATACACAGCCACATAGCTGATGGGCCGATCGGGCATGTATCCGCATGCGTTTGTGACTCAAAAAACTCAACAGCAAAGAAATCAACATCTTGTTAGAAAAAGGGCTGAAGACTTGGATATAAGGTAGGAATGAAATACAGTGAGTATTTAAATTAAAACAGACACACTGCAATTAATTCCGCTCAGAATCCTTCCCCTCGCTTTGAACACATTCATCCCATCATTTCTGCCATCCTCTGAAGCAGTTCTTTTGCGGGCACTTTACAGTTGCTATAAAAAATGTGTTAAATCCTGCTGCCCAGGATCATGTGCTAGAAGAGCAGGCCGGTAAAAATAAGAGTGAATCCTCGTCCACGTGATTCAACAGATACGGCATTATGTGATTGATTTCTGGTTCTTCTATGCAGTCCAAAGGACCACGAAAGGCAAACCTGTTGAAGCAATTTAGGATGTGGAGGAAGCCACAAGTGGAACAAAAAACACAAAAGAGACCTTGCAGAGCTGCTGCGGGGAGCAGCAAGTACGATGGGGTGTGCGCTAGGGTGAGGGCAGTGCTGTAATGGCAAGGTGTATTTTGCTGCAAGAAAAATTTAAACATTTACATTTAAACATTTTTATCATGCCATGTATCTTCTAGAGAGACACACACAAATGGCTGACGCGTGTATGTTGTTCATTTCTAATCACGTATCACTCCAGCAGCCCTGCATGTTACACTTAGTATAAACAATAGAGCTATACAAACTACTCCAAGTATATGGATATATCTCTAGTTCTACCCCTTTACTTGTTGATTAAATTTTATCTTTCTCTAATTTTTCTACTGTCATTTACTTTTTCATTGTTTTTCCTCAGGTTATCTAGTTGTTATTTATATATTTACATCACAACTGTATCTTCATACATGCTAGGCACTGTGTTAGGGTCAGGGTTGCCTTCAAAACAATGACTGTTTGTGGAAGGGTTAGTAGGGCAGACATACAAAATAGAAAATTAAAGTACAGAAAATCAAGATTGGAGATGAAGAATCAAGATTGGAGACGAGGAATAGTAAGCCCCATAAGGCCTATGAGAATAGGCGTGAGAATTAGGGAAGATTCCAGGAATTACAAGGAGACATGGAATAGTCAGACTTTAGAAGGGGTGTTATTTTTCAAGCTGGACTCCATTGTCTACCTGGGCTAATTTAACTAGCTATGGTGTCATACATCAAATCAGGAAAATAAAGAGAGGCCGGTTTAAAAGGCAACAGGTTTCTGGAAGAGTTCACACAGGGATGTCTCACATGCAGGTCCATCCAGCTTTCGATACAGACATATTAAACAGTACTGATATCATGGTCCCTCGGGTAAGACGACCTGAAAGCCAACACAACTTGATGTTTTCTTCCCCATAAAGAGCAGAGTATGAGCAAAGACCAGAGGTGACATCTGAGAGGCTACTGTCAGGGGAAGATGGAAGGGACACGACTACAGGACTGCAGAAGAGGGGCAAGACGAGAGTGTGTCCTGAGTGCAAGGGTGAGGCAGCTCACGAGCAGGCCAAAGCCAAGAGGGCAAATGTCAGCAAGGAGCAAATACAGTGTGCTAATCATACATTTTAAATAATTAATGTTTGTGCTGCCAGATATTGAATTCAGAGCCCAGAGCACAGTAGGCAAGAGCCCTATCACCAGTGAGCTCTGTCCACCCGCCAATAACGACACCTTTAAAGAACTAATTTCACTGAGACTTAGCTCTGCTGGCACCACAAAGACTAAGATGAGAGGTCTTACAATCTAATGGGAAAACATTTAAATTCAGTTAACAGTTACCAAGTCCCAACCACCTATGAGCCAATGTGACATTTTATCTAGTCAAGACAGCAAAAATAGATGATTTCAAAATAGACATTTATACACATCTATATGTGATGTTATTTATGTCATCTCAGAAGGGCCTGATAAATGATTTAGTCTAAGTTATTCTGTGTAAGAATGTGAGGTAATGGCATGCTTGTGATCCGGTTATGAACCGGCAACCCTGAGGTCTTGAAGGTGTATTATGGACAAGAAAGGTTGCTGTCTCAGGCACCATGAGTCACAGGTGGAAGGAAGTGCTCTGGGAATGTAACCTAAACAGAATTCACAGTCAATCATAACCTTTACTAAAATATACCCAATGAACGAACTGCTTTCTGAGCAAAGCTGTGATTCTTGGCAAGAGGTGGCGTCTCTTTCATGCTCTCCCTCCTGATGTCTCCCAAGCCTCTGGAAAATGCCTCAAAGTTCATTGGTAAAGTATGCAGACCTCACATAACCTGTACTCTGCTATTTTAAGTTGGAAAAGAAGCGATAGCTGGGCCTTAGGACTATCAAACTAAAGTTTTTTGTTGCTGTTGCTGCTTGGTACATGGGATCAAACTCAGGACCTTGCGCTTGCCAGGCAGAGGCTGATGCTGTAAAGCTATCTCTTCAGCCTCAAACTGAAGTTTTAAAACTTTTAAAGAATCAAAGAAAGCAAACAGGAAAAGGCCAACACCAACCATAGTTTTGGAGCAGCTCCTCTTTGGTGGAGACGATCAGAGAGCGGTCTTTGGCGGAGAGGACCACGGCCAGGCACACATAGTGCTGCTGCGAGGAGGTAGCACGCCGCACCACGGTGAGCAAGCGGACTGGGTGGTGGTGTGGGGCGCAGCTGAAGTGCTCCACACAGAACCAGCTGGAGTAACTCAGGCCAGACGGCGGAGGGAAAAACCGCTCACCTAACATGGGAAGAGAACATAACAACTGGGAATTTGCTTTTGACTCATGTTTGCATGCTAAAGAGAGGTCAACCACAGCATACAAACCCTAAATAAAATATGTACTGAAAAACAATCTTACAAGGAAAATGGGTCTCATATTTACCGGAGCCAATGCCACTGACCACAGCACCATCCGTGAGCCCCGTAGTGACAGCATTATTTGTGGGAGCGTTGTGAGGGGCCAGACTGGGCAGAAACAGGCAGCTGTAGAGGCAGAGACAGCACACAGATCAGAGGCAACTGCTGCCCAGAGAGGCGGGTGGCTGAGCCTACACGGGAAGCCGCCAGGACACCATGCAATGAGATGAAGGGTAACCAGCAGATTGAGATGCCTAGCAAAGCCCTTTCTATCTTTCAATTAAGTATATTATCAAGTGATATACTTAAAATCTATAATATTATCGTTTTATGCTTACATTCTTTAAAAATTAAGGTATAATCTGTATATGTAAAATCCATAAACATAAAATCTCAATGATGACATCAGAAAAATTTCATCATTGCAAGAACTTTCCCAGCTTATAATTCACTCCTTTTATTATTGTTCTGGCCCAAAGAATCCCCAAATATCTATGATTTGAAAATGACCTACTAGAATATTCTCAAAATATAACTACAGTGTTAGATAACATGTGACCTAAACTGTAATAGATCTATACATTATAATGTTCCAATAGCTCATCAATCCAGTTATCAAAGTAGAGAAAGTTTCTGTTGACTTACAGCAGCATTTTAAAAAGGCCAACAAGCCAGGCATGCTGGTGCACGTCTGTAATCCCTGCACTCAGGAGGCAAGGCAAGAAGATAACTGTGAGTTCAAGGCTGGCCTTGACTACATAGTGAAACCCTGTCTCAAAAATCTATCTAACAAAAACAAAAATAAAACACAAACCAAAACAAAATAATGCAGATGTGTTATACACATGCACCAACTCCACATGAGAAATGTAAACATTATATATTACAAATATGTACTGATGGAAAAATTTTAAATATAATAAATGTAGAAAATTTCATACAGTCAGGCAAGAAATGTATACACACTTCAGGAAAAGAAAGCTAGTATGATGTGCTTCATACTAGTTATGATGGTAAGACCCTCATATGGGGGACTGTAGAGGATGTTTATCACACTGCAGGATCTTGCATGTCTGTTATGCAGTCAGCCCTTACAAAGAAAGTAAAAATGCATGTGTGCAACCCATGACCGAGGTTACCCAAGCAGCAGTCTGCCAGACTAATAAGCGTCTGGAAGCTCACGGCCACCACTTCAAGCACCTCTTATAATTGTGGAAGCCAAAGGTAACTTGTATTAATCTCATGATGTCTCAATCAATTTAGTATTAAAATATTTATGCAAGTTTTCCTTTTCTTGAAGCATGTAAACATTTTTCATTGGACTGTGTTTTAATCAGCTGGATGTAAAGCATATGATCACTATTTGCAAAAGCAGATATGAGACAAAAAAATTAGAGGCGTGGCTACCACACAATTTCCTTACCCAAACCCTTCGAGGGACGCATCAAATTCAACAAAAGCTGGAGTAACTGAGGACCCATGCAGTCTGATGTCATGTGGGGTTGTCATGGAGACCAGACACTTCACCCTCGTCAATGGTACGGTACTCCCTTCGGCAGATTTCACCAGGCTTTTGCTTATTCGGTAATGGTTATCTTCATGTAAGCTAAAAACATTATCCGAACCCAGACCTTCCAGAGACGTGAGCATACTGCCTATATGTCAAAGAGAATCACTTAGGGAAATTATCCCATAGAATCTAAAAATAGCCCTGCATGCCTGATTTGTCTTCAAGTACTACTACTCTTTAATTATAAAATATAATTCTTTTCCTTTTAAATACTAAGACCATTATCCAATTTCCTTCCACAACTTAAATAGCGATGTTCTTTTTTAATATAACAGCAAAGTAATGTGCACACTACAGATATTGGGAACTATTCAGCGTAAATAAGAAAAATCAGTAATCACCACCTACGCCACTGTTTCAAGAAGACAATAAACCTGTTAGTGGTTTACAAACCAGATTCTAAGAAAAATACTCTAAAAGCATTATAACAGAAAAGTTCTTTTGTGTATAAAAAAAATCAGGTAAAAAGGAGTAAATTGCTTCCCTTGTCTATATGTATATGAACGGTAATAATTTCAAGACTGAAAAAACAAATACTAAACTGTTCTCTTTCCAGAAATGGATCACAAATGTAAAGGAGAAAACTTTTTCTTTGACAGTGAACCACATGAATACATATGTCTGTTTTCCTCTTAAATGTGTTGGACATTCAAGGAACTATAAAAAAATTTAATACTCTCTTAGGAAAAGTAGCTATTTCTATTTCTACTCTTACCAAAGGAAATCACAACTCAATTGTAAAGAACTATGAAAGTACTATATAAAAGTAATAATAACCAAAAAATGCATAGATGGTCTGGACATTAACTGACATAAAAAACTAAGAACTTACTGTTTTCCAATAAACCCATGTTGGAACTCAAAAGACCTTACCATTTCCATAGCTACCATTTCCGAGGACAAAATAAATAGATGAAAGTTGTTACTCTGACTTCAGAACTCTGAAGGTGTAGATCTAGAGGATCACTACCTGCTTTTATTTGCTGTATTTTCTTAATAAGTCCCTTTATCTGTTTTACTAGTAATGCTCATCTTAAACCGGCAAACATGCCTCGTGACATGACTATCTGAAACCAATTGCAAAGTAAAAGTAATAGGAATCACAGAATTCACTGTGTAAGGAAATCCAGCACAGCTGGGCCTCAAGTTCATCGGCATCTCTTGGGTGATGGGGCCTTATGGTCCCCAAGCTCTGTGAAGGACTGAGGGGACTCCTGTACGATGACTCCCAGGTTATTCTTTAGAAACCCAGTGGATACCTCCTCCTTAGACATACACCTCCCTGTGAGGTCCTCTGCTGATTTGTCCCCCTCAGCCTTTTCCTTGTGAACTCCTGCCCCTGTCCAGTGGCAAGCTCACATGAAGAGCTGGCCCACAGCCTTGGTTCCAGTTCCAGGATGACCTTTCCTCCAGTAGGCTTGGTGTCCAGCTCCCCCTGGAAGCCACCTGGCATTGCTTCTTGCCTACCAGGTTTACACTCTGTGGTGAAAGCCTTTAACTGCTTTTTATCAGTGTTCAAAAGTTCCTCTCCTCCACATCTTCCTGCAGCAGCTGTCCTACAGTCCCACAGCCTAGCAACAGTAACCACATCAGTCACTCCAGTCCCAGAAGGTAGCAAAGATTACTTGACAAAGGCAAGGAAACCAGGGGCCTCCTCAGAGACACTGCCCCTTCAGCCAGGGGGATTTGACCTCTAATTCTCTTCCCTTCTAAATGCTTGCACTATCAACCACAGGTTCCTTGTTCTGCACACTCCCCTGCTGCTTAACTGACCTGCACATTTTCACTGAAATAACAAGCCCCCTCCTTTCTTTTATAAACTCTTCAAAATAATATTACTCTAAGACAGCAAAGTGAAGGGTGGGAGTCAACTTACTTCTCATCTCTGGCTCATAACTCAGGGAACTTGGCTTGTGGACCCTGTACTGTTTGAGCAGTTTCTTGTCCCAGGCACCACAATTTAAAGGACTTGCCAAACGTAAAAACTCCCTATAAAAGAGACAAAGCAGTTATTCTTTGACTGTATTATATAACCCAGAAACCAAACACAAACAATGGGATTTAGTGAATTATACCAGACTAGTATATTTATTTTTTGGTACCAGAAACTGTGCTGCTGAGCCAAATCTCCTGCCCCTAGACTACTTTAAATACAAAAAGAAACACAAAATGACTAATCACCTTATACTCAAGCCCCCTCCTGCCTCAGCCTCCCAGAATGTTAGGACTAGCTGAGATAGTCTCAATTACTTTCTGTGTCTCTAATCTTGTTCCAACTCATTCCATTCTCCACTATGGTCACTACCTTTCAAAATCAACATGTGCTCCATGTCTCTCTGTTGCATAAGACTCGGCACTCCCACCATCCCCACTGGCGTAGCATGCAGTAGCACCGGAAGAAGGCGATCTCTACCTCAGGCTCCAACTTCACTGCTCTCGTCTTTCCCCAGTCATATACTCTATCCCAGGCCTGCCTCACTCTTAATTCTTAGGAATGCTACGTCTCTCATTGCTAAGATTATTCTTTCCTCTACTTAAAACAAACAAACAAACAAACAAACAAACAAAAAAGCTAACTCCTTCCCAAACTTTATTGTTTAACTGTCATTTCCTCTACAAAGCCTCCTCTGGAGCCCCTCTCCCCAAATCTGGGTAAGTGGTCCTTACATCAACTCGGTAACACTGCTATTGTAGAACTCAATACACAGCATTTTCATTTCTTGCCTGCCAGACTACACATATTTTCAGAGTATGAAGCTTTATAACTCAGGGTCTGCCATGCCACAGACGTCCCCAAAATGGCTGATTTACATTTCTACATGAGGAAAAACTAGTAATGGATAAATCTATCATCTTTACAAAACAAGCAGCTGTGTTCTTATTTCAAGCAGTAACAAAAGAAGAGAACACTCCGAGGGCCAGGATCTTAAGGTCAGACCCTCTATTCTGGTGAACAGATGTCACCAACTGTCCAGGAATTCCAAAGTAGGATTCCTTAACATCCTATCATTTGGGACATGATGTACAAAATATACAATACTTTTCAATTTCCAACAGTAGAAAGAAAAGGCATACAAAGTCAGATCCCTTCTTCAGCTTTTTCATGCCCAATGGTATAAACAATAATTTATAACCCATGACTTACAAAATCAGGTACCTGTACCATCACTTGACTTTTTTTTTCTTCCCTTTTTGGTAATCTGCTTTGATAATGTTAAAAGTGCCAAAAAGGAGAAGGGAAAATATCAGTGGTATATTCAAAGACTTAGGACTGTGAACTGTCCAGATGACAGATGAGGTAGGCACGACTGTCATGCAGCTTGGTGGTATTACGGCCTACCCTGCATCCCTATTTCACAAATGTTCATTGCACAAGTATTTCAACATCCATCATTAGCTTCAAGTCAGTGTAAAAATTACAAATAAATTTCAATCATTTAAAGAAAACTCCAAAGGTCGGGGAGATAGCTCAGTAGAATAAGTGTCTGCCTGGCAAGTGCAGGGTCTTGAGTTCAATCCCTGGTACCACAAAAAAAAAAAAAAAAAGAAGAAGAAGAAAAAAGAAAACAAAGCCCGTCAAATTTTATAAGTAATTTAACAATGAAGAGATATACTCTAATAAAAACAGTGCTTCACTGTCCTGAAATGACAAAGGATGAGTGTATTTTTATAAGTAGCTATATAATTTCAAAGAATGTACATAAGTTTAAAAGTAGCAACCAGCAATAAAACATACAACACATTCTTGCGTTAAGAGGTACAGATGAATGTGTGTGTATATATATATATGTATTTCTTCAATGATTCAAAAACTGGTATGTCCATAACCTAGAATATTATTCAGTAACAAAAAGGAACAAATTTGATGCACATAACAAAATGCTAATTTCCATGGACTTACTTTTGCTCTCTTTTTCTGTTCTTTCGTGGTACTGGGGACTGAACTCAGGACCTCATGCTTGCCAAGTAGGTACTTATGCCACTGAGCTATGTCCCCGGCCCCAAAACGCTGACTTCCAAAGACATCATTTATTCAATCCCAAGTTCCACCAAAAAACCAAAAACAAACAAACAAACAAAAAAAACCAAAGACATCATTTGATTTGATTTGATTCTATTGGGCCATTTCCCCAGCCCCCAATTTTTTTTTTTTTTTTTTTTTTTTTTTTCCAGAACTGGGGATTGAACTGAGACCCTTGCGCTTGCTAGGGAAGCGCTTTAATTTTATTTTACTTTATTAAATTTTAATTGTGTGTGTTTGTGTGTGTGTGTGGGGCCAGTTCATCCCACCAGGGGGCGGGGCTGGCTGGCATGTGGGGCTGAGGGATTGAACTGTGGTCCCTGTGCTTTGCTAAGCTTGTTCTAAGTAGGTGCTTTAGACCACTGAGCCATCTCACCAGCCCCTTTAATTTGATTTTATATACACTTTTTTTTTTGTACTGGGGACTGAACTTGGACCTTGCCCTTGCTAGGAAGGAGCCTAGGCCACTGAGCTATCTCCCCATCCCTATATATACATTTTAAAAATGACAGGATTATGGAGACAAGATAGAATTGCGGTTTCCATGGGTTGGGATGGTGGAAGATAAGGGAAGGACACTAACAGGGCAGCAACAGGGACCTATCTGTGACTTGGATGGTGGCTACAAAAGTCAAGACATCATGAAGTAAGACAGTATTATATTCAAACTTGCATACTTCATGCTGGTATTAACTTCTGCTGTGGATACTGTACTGCAGTTTGGTAGGACAGAATCACCAGGGGACCCTTGGCATAGAGGACAGGAAACTTGATCCACTGCCTTTACAAGTTATTGTTATATAGAATTCTTTCAAAATAAAGTTTAAAAGATATTTGTAAAAGGTTCCATTATACAAAAAGTTCCTACAGACATAAATCTGATCATTCGTAAAGTGTAAGAGACAACTGATGGGCAGCGATCCTGCTGACAATTTGGGAGGTCTATTCTAGGTTCTCCCTTTAGGGTCCTGTCCGTCCTTTCCATTGTCTTTTGTTGTTTTGCCCAAGGTAACCAAAATGCCTGCTAGGGTGTGTGCCCACAGTCAGTGGCAACCTGTGTGACAAGGAGGAGGAAGGACCACTGACCTCAGCACCATGGGCTCCAGGGCCTGTGAGGCCAGCCGCTCGAACATGCGCTGCAGGGGTGGGTGCAGCACGTGGTCCTCGTCAGCCAGGGCTGCACTGCACCTCTGCAGCAGCCGCGCATGAAGACCAGCTTCACACATGACCTGCTGGTTTCTCTCTGTGTGCACCAGGGACTGCAAAATGTTTGCCACTGCGAGCTGGAGGTCAAGAGCATGCTAAAGGCAACAAAGAGATCCACATCATCAGAGCATTCCTGGTGAGACAAGTGACAGCTCTTTCTACAGAAAGTGTATACCTCTTCTGGGTGTGTGTTGGGATGGTGGAGCTGAGCTACATCTCTAGTCCTATTTATTTATTTTGTGGTACTAGGGATTGAATTTGGGGCCCTGAGCTTGCCAGGCAGGTGCTTATGCCGCTGAGCTATATCCCTGGGCCCCCTATTTATTTAGATTTTTACTTTTCATAGTGCTAGTGACTGAATCCAGGGCCTTGCACTAAGCTACTTCCCCAGCCCTCTGTATTTTTTATATTGAAATGGGGTGTTGCTAAAGGTGCTCAGGCAGGACTTGCATTTTGGATCCCCCAGCCTCAACCTCCCTGATACTAAGATTACAGGTGTCCATCACCGCACCTATTTTTTTTTTTTTTTTTCCTAGTAGTGATCCCTTGGCCTCTGCACTCAGCTACATTTCAGCTATTTTTAGTTTTTATTTTGAGATACTCTCTTGCCAACTTTTTTTTTTTTTTTTTTTTTTTTTTTGTGGCGGAACCAGGGATTGAACTCAGGCCCTTGAACTTGCCAAGGAAGCACTTATTCCACTGAGCCATCTCCCTGGCCCATCTCTTGCCAACTTTCCCAGACTGGCCTCAAACTTGTGGGTTTTCTGTTCCAGTCTCCTGTGTAGCTGGGACTATAGGCATATAATTCATGGCCATCAACATGGCCAGCAAAGCACACCTTTTAATATGAGGTCTGTAGTTATTTCAAAATACATTCAGATAAATTAAGGAACTGGCTTAGAATGATACAGCAATTCTGGAACAGGATTAGGCAAACATTTCCAATTTAAGTTTGCTAGAAGCACACCTACCTAGATTCTATTCTCTTACAATGTTTCTGGATTTATATAGCTACAAAAACTCAGTAGTTCTACTTTTCAAGAAAAAATGGGTGTAATGCATGCCTTTTCTCATGTTGGGTTATAAGCTAGCTTAAAGGAAGGTCTATCATTCACATCTGTAACGCGTTAGGCCTTAGAAGGCACATGACATTTTCACAAAAATCGTAACCCCAAACTCCTACTTCTGAGTGCTACATGTTCAACAAATAACTTCAATGTGTTATCTTTAATCATTTTGCTTTCTTTATCACTAACAGTTTCCACTGTTGAGCAGGATTTATAAGGGAAACAATTATCCTAGCATCAGAAGGAACTACCTGGATTATATTTGTAACACATGGCTATATCCTAAAACCATATATATTTAGTACATGTATGCAGCACCTCTTCCCCAACTGCCCTGCTCACACAAACACACCCATCCTCGCACTCCTTAGAGACGGCAGGAGCTAAGCATCTGTGCTCACCTCTGGCTGCGTCCCTGATCCCACTGAGGCCAAGAGGTCCAACATGGCAAGCATGGCCCCAGGATGGATGACAACAGCATCTGAACTCTGCAGAGAGGTCACCTGAACTTTCAAGTCAGCAACATTTTTTGCAGGGTACACAGGGGGACTGGAAACAGAATGATATGCATGCCTATAAAACGAGAAAGAAGGGTTACTTAGCATTTCATTCTGAGCACATTCTTGCTCATTTTCTTCATCTTGTTACTTTTATTCACTGATAAGCAAAAAGTTTTATAATTCAGGGATAGGTTATAAAATATCTTATGGTTGGAATGTAAAACACAATATATTATCAAAGTTACATACAGACATGTAACTATCATTTCTTCTCAGCTCTTTTATGTGTTTATCCCTGGTACTTGGGTTGTTTCACTAAAGAATGGCATCTACACCAGAAAATATAAGAACTTGGTAAAACCACAGTGATCCACAGTTCCAGCTGTGAGTTCAGGCAGTATTCTGAATGAGGCCATTTTCTGCTCAAGTTGCCTACGTGTTAACTCCTAACCCATGGGCAATTCCATCGAGAACCAACAAGAGCAAAGTAGCCTACTCTGCAACTGAGACAATGAGTCAAGGGTTAGCGCAGAGCCAAGGCCACTGGAGAATAAATAAATATAGTAAACACCTTGGAACCTTGTCTTTGGTTTATTTGAAACTATAGTCACTCTTGCATTTATCCCAGTATTACCAAAAATACTCATTACATTTTTAAAACACATAGACAGTTTATATCATGCAGCAAATGTCTACAGCCAGGAAGCTGAGCTGTGTCCCAGATGTGTACATTTTTCATCAGTGGTCTTTCCTTCCTATTTCACTCATTTGCAATTCATGAATTCTGCACATTTGGAGTCTTGGCACCGCTGAACAGATGTAGTGGCTGCAGCCAACGGGAGCTCAGTGCTTCTATGAGCAAGAGCTGGGCTAGCATAACTTCTTTAACACAGGCTCTCAGTGAGAGCCGGGTGGCACAACTCCCTGGCACAACAACAGCTTGGGAACTGCACTTTGCAGCACTGATTGAGGAGCAAAGAACTGGCACTGCCATATTTTCAAGGAAACAAAACAAAACAAAACACCACTTTCTCTTTCATACAGATTCTAGGAAAGCATTCAACTTCATGTACAAAAAGCACACACTCCTCCTAGTTTAAAAGCCTGTCCGTCCTCCACCCATTCACTACCTGTGTTCTGCTGTTTTTCATTAAGAAATATTTAATCTCTATATCTACTAAAAATAAATTTCTCCATGCTTATTACTAATAGGTACCATCTTCCTGTTGTTACCTTTATATTTTACAATGTTTTGATCTAAAAATAACTTGTAATTTTTCTACAGCGTAAATGTGTTTATCAATCCTTGATTGCAGAATTTCAAAAAACTTTATTACATATAAAGTGACTCAAATTTGAAAAAAGCACAGGTCTAACTGTAAATTTTACTTACAAGTAAGTTTTTTTCTACTATACTTACTTCTGAGTTAAACAATCTAGATTTTTTTTCTTACATTATATACCCAGAGAGATATTTTTGTGTTTGAAAACTGAACTCTTCACTGATAAGTAATTATTACAACAGTAAACTTTTTTTTAAAAAAAAACCACTTATATGAAAAGCAATATTCTCATAAGGATTTTTTGGCATTCAAGCCAGAAAAATATGGCAAATAATATTAAAATACAAAACATGATATTTATTTTAAACTAAAAGCATATGTATTATAACAGGCATTATACAATACTAAGTTTTACTAAGCTGCTTAAATCACCACTATGGGAATTACTACTTTTTAAACTTATGGACTAAATTTATTAAATAGCTCAATTATAAGTAAGATCTAGACTTTCTCAAAGACAGTGTAATGACATTTCAGTATAGACTTATTTATTACATTGCAGTGATTTTTAAGGTACAGAAACTGCAATTTAGTTTTTCAGCCTGCATTCTCGTCCATGCTCAAGGACACCTTTGCCTATCTTGGGAGTGAGGATCCCTCTTCTCAATGGACTCTGCCTCATCCCCAGAGCACAGAGGTCCTCAGGACTGCAGTGCCTCCTCCCTCCCAGGGCAGAGCTGGTCTGGACAGCTCGGATTATTTTCTATTTCATTTTCATTTCCTCCAACACTGACAAATTTGTCTTGTTATTCCTCCTCAATAATAAATGATGAGAAAAGGCCTCCATGCTCTCCTTTCCATGGTGGCCGCCCTCACACTGTAGGGTGAATTGTTTTCCTGCTTTTACTTGGCCCAAATTTGCTTGAGCCTGTTTCTTTTGCTTCCTTTAATACAACTTTGCTATCATTAAAAAAAAAAAGAAAAAAAGAAAAAAGGTCACCTGTTTTAATTTTTTAAATGTGAGGTTGGCTAGGTTCTTTTTCTCCCAATTTTTAAAATAATCTGAGAAGAATCTCCAGGATTTCACAGGTCAGACAAGCCACAAGTTCAGAACTTCCTCACACGAATGTTCCACTGGTCAGAAAAACACAACAGAACAGTGGTTTCTTCTACTGCTGACAAAACCAACACGTTTTGCCAAAAGGAAAAGTTGCTTATGAGCTGATGTAATTGTTGGTCAGTTCTAGGAACAACGGGAATGAAATTCTAATTTCAAAAGGTATTATATAGCCTTTGAATTTGCAAAGTGAAAAAGTTACATTTCCTGTGCAGTTAATTCCTTCTGCTTCTTACTGTCACACAGTGTATGTGACACTGCTAGAACGGCAAGGGAACACAGGAACGCTGGGCTAGGGCATGGCTCAGGGTAGAGCGCTTCCCAGTGTGCTAAGCCCGGGCTCATTCCCAACATCGCACAACGACCAAACAAGCAATGCAGCGCGGATCCTCCTAGTACTGGCAATCTTAAGAGCTCCCCGTCCTGGAGAGCATCAATCTGTGCAAAAGACGGGAGAACGTGCACGAATCGGGCACTCCCTCAACTAGTGCTGGTGACCGCCCTGCCGGGAAACCTGGAGTATCTGCATGTAGGGGCACTGCAAATGACAAAAAGCTGCTTTGCTCTGAAGGCCATAACTAACTGCAAAAGAAGACAATGCTCTTGTCCCTTTGTTAATTACCATATAAACAGCAAGTTTCAAATTTTCTTTTTTAGGAAATGCACTCTGTGAGTATGTGAACTTCTGTTTATTGAGTGTGGGTTAATACAAAGGAATAAACATTCTGCAACAGTAATTTTTAGGCATTTAGCATTTATGGTCTGATTTTTGTACTTCAAAATTGGGATTTTTCAGTAATTTCAACTATTTAGTTGATGAAATTATTTCTCTAACATCAATAGTTCTTTGGAGTCATAAAAACATGACTCTTCAGACAAAAAACTTTATACTTACTCATTAGCACAGAAAATTATCCCAAATCAACTAAAATTTATCTAGTTCCTGGTTTCTTCACTGAAGACCAGTTGTTTCAGAAATAAGGGCTGGGGATGTGGATTAGGGATAGAGTAGTTACTTGCTCAGAGTGAGGGCCTGAGTTTCATCTCAGCAGCACCCAACAAGTCAAAACAGTAGTTGTGGGTACACATACTGAACAGCCACAATTTCATTTAAAACTGTTCTGAACTATGCCATGGTTAAGCACGATGAGATATAAGCCCCAATCCAAATTTAAGAGAACAAACACACCTTTCCACATACCTGCTAAGTACTACTCTAGAAATGCAGTTGCCCCTCTGTTTCACGGGGGTTGGGCTCCTGGGCCCCTAAATCAACAGATGCTCAAGTGCCTTATGTAAAATGGCATGTTGTGCAGAACCTAAGAGCACTTGCTCACATGAGCTTTAAGTCAACACTCGATTGCTTACAATCCCTAACACTGTGTTAATAATAGTTGCTCAGCTAAGTCTGAGGAACAGATAATAAGAAAAAAGTACAAACATGCTCAGTACAAATGAAATTTTAAAAAAGTAATTTTCAATTTGAGGTTCTCTGAACTTACAAACAAAAGGCGGGAAGCATGGTGAGCCACAGAACGTGTAATCAGTACTTCTGGCCTTAACCACAATTACATTCATGATTCAAAATCAGCACAGTAGCAACCAGATTCAAACAACAATACAAAGCATGTGTCATGGTGGCACACACCTGCACTTCCAGCAGTTGGGAGGCTGAGGCAGGAGGGTTACTGTGAGTTGGAGGCCAGCTTGGGCTACACAATGAGACCCTGTCTCAATCAGTCACTGAAGCAGATCACTGGGATTTGTTTTTTTGTAAAAGATACAACTGGAAATATTTATATAAAGTTAAGGATCAAAAAAAGACTGGGAAAAAAAGACTGGGTACCCAAGGCCCAGACTGCTGCCCTCGGTGCGGCTATGAATGGACGCAGATGCACACCTTCAGTGCACCCTGGTCATCAAGGGATGCTACGCATATTCACAAGTTTTGTAGACGAGGCAGGCTAGATTAGTTTAGCTTTGCATGGTAACAGATAATATAAGTCCTAGGCAGGTAATTATCTTTATTTTTTCAAAGGTTAGCTTTGGCAAGTCCCCATACAGCATCAGATTTCAATGGCTGAATCTGAATGAGAAATATTCATTTCCCTGCAGAGCTGTGAGATTCATTCTGGAGTCACAGGCCAAGCAAAGAATGCCCTGACACTTAAAGCAGAAAGAAGCATGTGGGAAGTATCATACTGTTAGAACTTTAGAAGTCCTCACTTCTAACTTATTTTTAATAAGATAATACCTCCTTTTCAAACAAACTCTGTAGATTATGTTTAGATCCACAACAGAGAGGTTTAGTTTAGATTACATACTAGAGATGCAAGATTCTATGTCTTTCATGGCTTCATAATATCAGTATATTTTATTCTTATCAATACTCTCAAAGGAAATTAATAATTTTTAAGTCTAAAAAATAACTGAATAGTAGGAAAATATTAACAATCACCACGTTAACACCTAAGTAAGCACAGGAATAAAAAACCTTCACAAATGGAGGTTGACTTCTCTGAGACCAGTACCTTTTCCTGGACAAAGCTGGTGTCCCCCAAGGAGAGGGGAGAGAAGACTCACTTGTCAGGCAAGGAGGGATCTGTTCTGCACGACTATAGACGACAAAACAGACAGGGTGGTTTAGAGAAGTTAGAAGAAGAGAACACCAGGTTTGCAGTTGGTTAGTTTCACAAGAAATGCCAGTACTAGTTTAATAAGGAGCATCCTCCATACTCAGTAGCAACAAGCCACATGACTACAACACATGCACTGAACAAGACAAGACAGCATGCTTGAGGAAGACGCTGCTCCTGTCCACGCTGCAGTTAACACGCCATTAAACAGAACGCTCGAGGCCCCCCCGACAATGCCAACCCAAACGAGGTGCACTGTCTACGGTCAGCAGAGGCCAAGAGAAAGGGAGCTGGGTCCAGTGCACAAAGGTGCACAGCTTACAATACTAGCAATCTGGCTTCTTCTCAGTAATAATATACATGCTTTTTTTTTTCAAGCTTAGAGAAAAAGGAAAGTGATTTTCTTACATTACCTGGATTTTCTACTTTAAATATTAAAGACTAAAAAATATTACTATAAATCAAGAAATCTCTCTGTAGATATTCCATGGCAAAGACAACAAAATACAACAGAAGGTAGGGCAACTCTGAGTATAATACAGGAACAATTCATTAGTATTAGGAAAAAAACTGGTAGCTTAGAAGTGATAATGCTTGGAACAGATAAATTAGCAGCATGATCACTCCTGCATTATTTTCAAAAAGAGACTTAATTAAAAACCAACAGAGAGCTGCAGTACTAAATAAGTGATTCAGGCAAAGGCTCTCCCGAGGTGGCTCTCAGAACCCTGTGTCCCCATCATGGAGATGGCCACCACACACTGTAACTGGTGGTCAGCTAAAGGCAGGTGAAGCCCATGGCCTAGTTCAACACAGAGCTCAGTCCTCACTGGCTGAATGCACAGTGGTGTGGCATGCAATGGGCTACCTACACACACTGGTGAATGACTCTGAAGGGACAGGTGATTGACTCCGATGGACTTTGGAACTTAACAGTTCAAGACACTGACAAGTCTCCTTCAGATCTCTACCATTTCTCAAAAATCATGAAAAGCTGAGAATGACAGACTCTCTGTCATCTCAAAATATGCATGATTGTAACCATATCCCCTGTTGATAACCAGTATCAGTATCCTCCTAAAGTTGTAAGGGTAAAGAGGAAGAAGAGAACAATGGTCGACACTGGCATCAAAGAAACGTCAAACACATGTTCTATCAAATTTGACGAATGCTAACTGGACCTGGATTTACAAATATAAAGATCTCTATGTTAATAAACTGAACACCAGGGCTAACTCCTCCAGGTGATACATGCTAGGCAAACAGGAGAAACTTCCCTTTCTTGGGTTCTACTGCTGATGTCATGCTGAGCACACCCGTAGCACAGGAGACAGAGCAGAGCCGTACCTGTCAAAAGAGTCTGTAGCCACTTTGTAGAGATAAATAAAGAGTTTACTACAGTGCCGTAAGGTGGGTGACACGGAGTCCATGGAAATTACTTCTTCCTCTAACAGTCTTTGAAACGGCTGTGTGTTTGAGGGGAAGACATTCATGGCACTTATTTTTCTTAGGTCTGAGAAGCAGCCAAGAAATCGCACGGCATCCGCCAGCTTCTCATACTGAATCTCTGTCTTGAAGAAGTGAGAGTTGGCTGGCTCATAACGCATAGCCGCAGACAGGGTGCAGAACACGGTGTGGAGCAACTCGAACACTTGATTTTGGTTCACCTTCTCCCAGCCGTTCTTGGGGGGACAGCTCAAGGATCTCTCCATAGCCACAAGCAAGGAGATAATGTACACAAAGCCTCCCACTTTCCTAAACACTGTTCTCGAACGATGGCTTTCTCGAAGGACAGTCAGAAGGGCCTAGAGGGGACAAGCAAACAATTCTAATTTTTAATATGCCAAAACATAACCCCCATGCATTAATGTCAAAGGCAAGTACCCGCCATTCTGTGAACATCTGATACAAATGTATTTATCATTTACTCAATATGTAGCTACATGAAAGCATATTAAATATTTTGCTAATTATGTGATGCTACATCGAAGGTAGAAAATAAGCTCTGGTAACATTATCACTCATTTCTTTTGATGAATTAACATTATATCCAAATGCTGGCTAACAAACTTCTCTTCCATGTTTAATGGACATCACCACTGAGTGAAGTTTACAAAGTTCTTTTATTAGGTAGAATGCATATTGTGTAGTTTCAATACCATCATGAAGACGGATGTCTGTCAATGTGTACAAAAACGGGTTTATTCTAGGAAGGGTGATCAGGCCAGCTAAGAATTAAGGTCTTGTGGCCCACTATAAAGTGGCCAGAGTCTCAGGCCTCAGGAAGGGGCTACACATTAGAGGAATCACGAGCCATTCTCTTGTGCAAAGCGAGCTGGAGCCTCCATGCTAGAAGGTTGGTCTTTCCCAGAGTAGCTCTAATAAATACAACCTAAAGTGAAAAAGTAAATCGAACTCTGCATTCCCTGAACTGCTGTATGTCAGCCTGGCTCACTGTTAAGAAGAGCATATTATAATATCCCAAATGTTTTAGGGGGGACTTACTATGTAAGGAAGCAGGAGCTTTTCTGAATTATCTTAATTCTCTCTACAATCCTATGTGATACTACAGGTTGAATGTCCCCTATCCAAAATGCACGAGGCCAAAACTTCCCAGTATTTTTCAGAATATTAACATGTATGTAATAAGCTATTTTGAAGATGGGACCCAATATGTGCCTTCCATACATTGCCTGAAAGTAATTTTATGCAATATTTTTAATGATTGTGTGTATAAAATAAAGTTTCATGGTATAGCATCATATAACTGTGGTATAACATCAACACTAAAAATCTTTTGGTATTTGGAGCATTCTGGGTCTCAGATTTTCAGTTTAGGGATGTGAAACTGGGTGTCATGGCCCACTCCTACCATATTAGCACTTGGGTGGCTGAGGCAGAAGGATCACAGCAAGTTCTGAGGCCAGCCTGCATTACAAAGTGAGTTTAAGGCCAGCCTGGACTACTTAGTAAGACCCTTTCTCAAAAAAACAGAAACAAAACATATTAGAGATGCTCAAGCCTAATTATTTTATTATTATTTTATAGATGAGGAGTTAGGGCTCTACATGGTGAAATAATCTGCCAAAGACCATACAGAGTATGTTACAGATAGGACTGAAAAGGTAGAATTGCAGAAGATACAATTGAAACCTAGGAGGCCTAATTTCCCCTCTTGTGTACTTACTTATACATGACATTATGTGCCCCTGAACTACAACCTGAAGTCTGTTTACATATACAATGGACTTCTTTCCCTTCTGTTTCAGTATCTGTAATATAGCTAACGTCTACTATACTTTAGACACAATTTATAAGTGGCCTGAGGTCAGGTCTATTGCTTACAAGGTAGTTACAAAATCTCTCTAATCTTTTCCATGTGGTAAACCAGGTGTGACTTATTTTATATCCATTATACACATATATGTATATATGTACAATATTCTATATAACATTTTTTCACAGATGTGTAACACTG